GGAGCAGTGAATCCTTTTGTCCTCTTGTGGAATTGTGTTTGTGACAACAACAGCCTCAAAGGAGGCACTATTTATTCTGGAAATAGTTGGCCCAGAGAAAATGCCATGGGTAAGGATAGCATAAACTTTGGTGGCTCCAGCTGAGAGCAGCTTGTCTGCAGTGTGGCAGATTGCACCACACCTGTGGGCCATGCCATCCACATATGTGGGCCATGTCATTCATGAGGATGGCCAGGTGGTCCTTCATGGTGCCCACCAAGAGCATCAGGTCCACTTCACTTGCCATCTTCCTTTCTTTGTGAATCAAGGCAAATTCCACCTTCAGTCTGTCCACAATTGACATGGCTCCACCCATATTGGAGGAAATGATGATACAGTTCTTCCAATCCATGATGTTCTACCAAATCCACTGCAGGACCATGGGCTCTGCATACAAATTATCCACGAGGATGTCAAAGAATCTGTGGGTCTGAAAGGCATGCAGCTCCATGGTGATGATGTGATCTGCCCCAGCAACTGAGAGCATACTGGCCACAAGTTGTGCAGAAACTGGAGCATGACTTTTCTGCTTTTTATCTTGGCAGGTGTATGGAAAACACAGGATCACTCACTTTGGTCACCCTGGATGATGATGCAGTCTTGCAGGCATTGATCACAGTGAGAAGCTCCATCAGTTTGTCATTGATCTGTCCAGAGCCACTATGGATGACGTAGACATCATCCCCTCTCATGCTTTCACCAACCTCCATGCTGGTCTCCTGGTTGTTGAACTTCTTGGTGACCCCCTTGCCCACCTCCAGGCACAGCCAATCAGCCACATGCTGGGACAGGTCCTGGTGCGAGCTGCCACTGAAGAGCTTGATGTTGGTCATCTTGAGACTTGATGGGTGCGCGGCCCAGATGGAAGCAGCAGTGGTCCCAGAGGCTGCAGCCCTGTAGGAGCAGGAAAGTGTGGCTGCTCCCAGTGTTTTTGTTGCTAGTTTTGATGAAGAGTGGAAAGTCATGGGAAAATGCAATAGGACAAAGAGGCTATGAGCTAAGTGGAATAAACATGGGGAAATTAGTAAGGTCATTTGTTCAGGTTTGTCTTGGAGTTTCTTGGTCTTGGAGGTAAGTATATTCCTTTCCTCTGGGAATAGGGAGGGCACATCTCACATGAGAGCCTTATGACCCACTTCAGGTGGAGGTCATAGCACTTTCACTGTATGAGGTAGTGTAAATAATCTAGAGATGATCAGTGGATGTACATAAGTTATATGCAAATACAATGCCATTTAATATAAGGGACTTGAGTATCCTCAGATTTTGGTATCCGTCAGGGAAAGGAGGTCCTGAAACCAATTCCCTACAGATACTGACAGGAGACCATGTATGTATGAATTAATTTAATCCTCACAATAACCCTTTTATACTAATTCCATTCTTAACAAGAAGAGCCCAAGGCTCATACAGACTCATAGAGTACTTTTCTCAAGGTCACCCAGAAGTAAATGATAGGTTGTCTAATTTCCTTAGCCAAGGCACTGAGAATCATTGTTGACCTGGGGCCTTAAAGATAGCCATTGCTCCTTCTTCTTGAATTAGGCATGTTTCTGCACAGCCATACCTCAGATTGGGCACGTTCTTTTCTTAGCCTTGCTAATCCTTTTCCACATTGGGGGAATAAGGCCTGGGACCCACTCTATACCCTTCTGGTGACTTTGCAAATCTTTGCCCTGGCCGGCTGGCTGAAGACTTCAAGCCTTCCCTTGGAAGCCTACTCCTCACCATCATTTCCTACTTGTTGTGGGACATCTCCCCAGTGTACCCGAGCTCTGACAACAAACACCCACTCTGACTATCACAAAATCCAAACCAGTCTGGAAATTTCCGAGAACAAATTGCCTAATGTTTCTTTCTCTACACAATAAACTTTTGAAATGCTGTGAGGAAAAAACAATCTGGAATTTGAAGATATTTGGAAGCTTTGAGGGAGCTGGCTGTTAGCGGAACCCTGATGTGAAGGCTTTTGTTAAATGGAGGACCAGATTTGTAAATCAAACAATTACCCCCTAGCCAGATAAAAACAACAGTTTCCATTTCCTGGCACTTACCACAGACTAGAAACTGTGCAAGGGATTCACATCCATTCTCTCTCTCTTTTTCATAACAGCTTTATGGTGACATAATTCACATACTGCACCATTCACCCCTTTAAGCATATACTTTGGTACTTTAGGTAGAGTCTTAAGGCTGTGCAACCATCACCATGAATTCTGGAACATTTCCCCGATCCCCAGAAGAAACCCCATATCAGTGAGCAGTCACTCCCCATGCCCTCTCCCTGCACCTCCTGGTTAGCCAATAATCTACCTTGGATCTCTAAAGATTTGCTGATTCTATACATTTCATATAAATGGAAATGTATGCAGTCTTTTGTGTCTGGCTTTCTTCACTTAGCATGATGTTACCGAGGTCCCTCCATATTGCAGCATGTATCAGTAGCTTATTCCTTTCTACGACCAAAAAACATTCCATTGCATGGATATGCCGCACTTCACTCATCCATGTGTCAGCTGATGGGCATTCGAGGTGTTTCCTCTTCTTGGTTACCATTACCTCTCTATTTTCCTTCTGTGTACTACAGTATTAGTGCTATTTCTTTTTTGTGTGTTTTTAATTATTTTTCAATTACAGTTTACTCTCAATATTATTTTATATTAGTTCCAGGGTTACAGCATAGTGATCACACTTATGAGAATATTATGGACTATATTCCCTATGCTGTAATTCACATCCCTGTGGCTATTTTGTAACTGCCAATCTGTACTTCTTTTAGTCCTTTCACCTCTTTCACCCAGTCCCCTAGAACCTCCTCCCCTCTGGCAACCACCAGTCTGATCTCTGTGTCTATGAGTCTGTCCCAATTTTATTTGTTTGTGTATTCTGTTTCTTAAAGTCCACATATAAGTGAAACCATATATCATTATCTCTTTTAATCCTCATCCCACCCACAGAAGTGTATATTACTCTCCATTGATTGATTTTTGTAAATTATGTTTTCTTAGAGCACCAGAGATGATAAATCGTCCCAAGAAATCATTGACTGGACTTAAAAATCCCAGACACCAGTCAAGTGTTGATTCTCATGTCAGGAAGGCATAGTGTAACCTAGCAGAAACTTCGTTTATATGACCTTTTCTCCTTTCCTTCCTTTTTTTGATGCAAACTGGCCTCCTCCACCACCCTGACTCATCTGCGTCTTTCTCCCTTGCATGTCCACTTCCTTAACCATGAAGCCCTCAACACAATGAGGTTCTGATCAGTATCAAATAATCTTAAGAACAAAACCTGAGTCCATTAGCCACAGAGATAGTGCTTTGGTAAAACTGGAGATAATATCTAGGCCTAAGTTGTGTTTCACCAGAAAAGTGGCAATGAAATGGTACCATGGCTGACATCAGGACCAGATGCACTGATCAACTACTTCCTACCCTAGCAACGACCAATCAATAGAGACCACAACACTTAGTTACCATGATTAATGTTTCTTCCCCTATATTATCCATCCCGTGGAATCCATCAAGGAGCCAGGTCTTTGAGCATTAGTTCACGTGTGACTCCAAGCAAGGGACACTTCCTAAAAATAAGCTCTCATTTTCTTTGTTGCAAGCTCCTGTTTCTTTGGGCTTTGAGGCACACAGACAAATGGACCTCTTTAGTCCCTTGACTATAGGAGTTGTCATTTTAGCCTCCTTTCCAACCCCATCCTCAACCTCAATCAAATGGAAATGTCCTGAGCCTTGAATCCAGCTCCCCCTCAAGGGCGGAGATATTTCCATGAAGAAAAGTCCTGGCATTATCTTATGTTCTCAGCAGTTGGAAGACTCTTAAGAGCTCGTCTGGTTCTTTCCATGGCCCACAAGATTCTAGCAGGAGAGAAGGTGGGTCAGATGTTTCACTCTCCAGCCCTGGCTAGATGCCAATATTCTGACGGTTAATAGGGATCTAACTTTGGGCAAGTTATTTAACCTCTGTGAGCTTCAGTTTGGTTACTACTAAGATTAGTAAGACTACTTCAAAGCTACTGTCAGGAGTAAGTTAAGTGCTTAGGATAGTGCCTGTCACGTTGTAAATCAACCATTGGCTTCCTTTGTCTCTCTTTCTGGTAGGGGATGGTACCGTGCCAGGCTGCCATTCCCCAATCCACGCATGCTGGTCCCTTTCTCATCACCCTAGATTTTCCTCTCGCACCCGCACCGCCATCACACTATTCTTCCCTGGCTAACTTCTCATTCTTCCGATTCCACTTTAAATTGCACTTCCTCGGTAAAGCCTTCGCAGACAGGACCACATCTCTCTCCTTAGTTATTCTTAAAGCACCTTGCACTTTTCCTTTATTACTCATCACAATTTGTCGTTTTAATCCCCCCCCCTTAAATTGTGTGCTCACTTTATCTTGCTCCCTGCTGTATCCTGCGCACCTACCAAACAGTGCCCTAGGATCATAGCGGGTATTCACGAAATATACTTATGGACAGATATGGTTCTGAACTCGGATTCAGAAAAGGAAAATGTCCTCCCCCAAATCACACAATGAGTGGCTGACTTCAGCCCGTCTCCCTCTCCATTACCAATCCAACTCCACCCAAAGCCTGGCAAGAATTTTCCCCATCTGTCCCCTAATATAGTTGAGTTCCCGAAAATGGGGAAGAACAAAGGAGTGTGCAGAGAGGGGTCAAGTGATTTGGTTTGGCCTCTTCCTCTCCGGACCATAATGCGAGCATACTGGAAAATAAAGAATTACAGCAACAATGACGCGGCAGGGCGTTGACAATCACGGAGCCAGGTGAGGGAGAAACAGCGGGGTTTAGGCATAGAAACCGGAAGAAGTGAAGATAAAACCTACGCAGGCGCAGTGGAGTCGCTACCCAATTTCCCCCTCCTCCGCCCCGCCCCTTTTAGCCTAGTCACAAGACACCACACACAGTCAGCTGACCAGGCGCTGCGAGGATCACGTGGAGACCAGCGTAGGGCGCAGGCGCAGATCTTGGGCGTTTGGGCCTTCGGACCTGTGGGGCCATAGAGGGCATTTAGGTCGTGCGCCTAGGCTTTCGAGGCGCGGCCGCCATGGCTAGTCAGTCGCAGGGCATCTAGCAGCTGCTGCAGGCCGAGAAGCGGGCCACAGAGAAGGTGTCAGAGGCTCGCAAGCGTGAGTTTTGGGGCGCTGCTCGAGGCCCGGGAACGCGGCCAGGCCGTGGGAGGTGGTCGATGGGTGAGGCCGCCATCACCGCGGGTTGGAGGGGTGGTTGCGGTCGCGGAAGCTGCGGGTCTCGAAGCTCGGTCTGAGGCTCTCGAAGGCTTCTAGGCCGACTGGAAGTTGCGATGTGGGATAATAGATCGGGCATGGGCAACAATGGGTGGCGTCTTTCCTGGTGTCTGGGAGGCGAGTGAAACGGGTTATCCAAATGGAATTCATGGTCTTTCCCCTCTCAGTGAAGGGATCCTCCATCTACGTGGCTGCTCAGCCTAAAAACAGAGTCCTCTTTGCCACGTCGTTCGCCCCTTTTAGTCAGCCGGCAAGGCTTATATATCTGTTCGTGTCTACTCCATTTATACCGCCAGCATCTTAGTCCAGGTCATCAAGTTCTCTAAGGCTCCCATTGCAAGCTAGTTCGTTGAGATCCTAAATGTTTTTTTTTAAATGTGGCTAATAGGTGCCAAGCGCGTTGCCCGATGTGTCTATGGTGTCTGTCATCATGGTAGAATCGCAGTGAAGGAAGCAGATATGGGGTAGGCTAGTTGCAGATGAGGTGAGAGCTAGAATTGAGAAATGCGAGATTGCTAAATAATTTAACAGGTAGATCTAGATTGATGAGTGGAAGAAGTTTCCTCTCTTCATGTCCATTCTCACTGTGGGTAGTCATCCATCTGAAATTTAAACATGACTTTCCCACCATCTTTACAGCCAACAAATGGTTAGTGCCTGCGGAATAAAGCCCATATTCGTTAGTAGGGTCGTGGAGGCAAGTTTGGATCCGTCTCTTGCTCTCTTCCTGGATGTCACAGGTCCTCCCCTCCAGATTGCGGAATCACTCTGATTCCTCAAAGGCACCTTCATTGATTTCCCTGCAGGCCTGTGCATAGCTGTTCGCTCTGATTCCAAGAGGTTTCCCCCACTTCCCTCTGTTTATTCTCTAACCCCTAATCTTCCTTCAGATCTCAGAATTGAGGCAGAAGATCTTCTAAGAATTCTTCCTGGACTTGACCTTTTCTCCTCAGACTAGGCTAGGAGTTCTTCTGCAGTGCTCATTTCTGTCATCACAGTGCAATAGCTCCAGTCACTTGACTAAACTTCTGGAGATCAGGGACTGTGTCTGATTTATGTGTTCAGTTTCCCATCTGGTGAGATAGATATTTTTGTACCTGTTTTACAGAGGCAAACATAAGGCTCGAAGAGAAGTGATTTGACCATATCCTGGGAAGCAGCATTAGCCAGGGTTTGGAGGCCTCCTTTCTTGTGCAGGGATAAAATACTAAGAAGTACTTGTCTTAGTAATTCCTTGGTGTTTCTCTCAATCTAAGCCTTACACTTTTACACCCAAGTACGTGGCTCTTGTACTTTCAATTAGGGGTGGTGTGATACTCTATATTTCATAGGAAACGCTTTCTTTGAGGGACCTGTGTGTGTGTGTGGGGGGGGGAAGACATGCTTTTCCGTCTTGCTGTGGTGACTGGAAAGTTCTGTGTTCTTCACAGACTATTTCTGATCATGCCCTTGATACAGTATTTCCAGAATGACTTCTGACACTTAGTTCTGTGGTGGCTCATCAGTAACAAATTCTGTCTGTTGGAAAGCATGTGAGAATATTTGGGGGAAGTGGAGGAGTAATTCTGAGTGCCTTGGAGCAATGGGTCATGTTTTACACCTTTCTTTATCCCATCAGACCTGGTACAGGGACTTGTTTATCTCAATAGCTACATCTTTACTGAATTAATTTATTTTAAAGGAGTTTATGGCTAATATACATCTCAGAATTTGGAGTAACTAGGAATAAAAAAATACTACAATAACTAGGAATTGGGAAGAACTACAATTTGAAAAAAAATATTGCCTTTCTTGATCTATAATTATAATTGACTCACCCAGTTAGGAATTGGGTAGGGGCAATACGTGATGTGGTAAAATGCATCAGCCCAAATTTTTTATGAAACCATTGCTTTGATCCTACTTAAAAAAAAATTATGGTACAGTTTATTTCATTGGAGTAAAAGCTAGCACTAGTTTCCATATGTAAGGCCCTTGAAAAACAAGATTGAAAAGAAATATTTCTTGTTCAAATATTTTCAGAGAAGCTTATCAAGCTTGAACATTGAAGATGTTTGCTAAGAGGCAGAGAATGTGTCATCTCTTTAGAGATTAATTCAGGGAGCTGTGGGAGCTGGGAGTGATCAGGAGAGAGGTATTGTGAAATTAGATGGAGCTACTGCATAATGTTGGGGCCATAAATGTTATTTGTAGATCCTTGGCTTGGAAAAGATCTTCGGCTTTGAAATAAGGCTTTGAGTATTTCTGATGAGGAGGCTAGCACGGGGAACCCTGGGGTGCAGAGTGGTTTGAGTGAGGACAGCGGTAGGCCCTAAGTAGGACTGAACTGAACGCACACTTGGCAGAAATAGCATTGGGTGCTTAGAGACAGATCTGTTGCTTGTTACAGACTTGCCTCGTGGAGTGCTCATGTCCTGAGGTCATTAGGGTTTAAGATTCTTAATCAGGAGGCAGAAGGTTAAATTTAATTTCATTCATCCACATGGGCTGAGTGGGATTTGTACAGTTGATACACAATGTTATACAGTAAAGCTTAGTTTCAGATGCAGGGTGTTTTTGCTCTGAATTAAAGAAATGCTCAGATTGATCACCTCAGGCTTTCTTTCTTCCTTCTGTTTGGGTATCTGAAAAGTTTGATTAATGGGCCGAGAATTATTTCTGTTGGTTGGTTGTGGGTTGTTTTTATACAGGATTCGATAGAACCTAGAGAATTTTTCCAGCTGTGTATCAAAATAGTCTTCTCTAGAAATCAGCCCACCTGTGTCTCCTCACCTCATGGGTGGTTGTATAATCTTGTTGTCCATGGCAGTCCATTCAGGACTCCTTCCTGGTACCACTTGCATTGCTTAGATCCTTGTGCACAGGCGTGGCTTTTAGTTTCCAATATTACATCATCTGTCATTAGTTAGAGTTTAGGTTGATGTCCCTTGGGAGCATATTAGTCTCCTTGCTAAGCTTCTAAGTGGAGCTCCAGTTGTAATCAACATAATTAGGTGTTTACTTCTTGGGAAGAGGAAGAGTTTCTTAGATGGCTGATGTTATCCATTTGATATTGGTTCTTATTAATTGAGATTGTAAGAATATTCTGACATATTCCAAAATTTCCATCATTTTTACAGTCTGTAGTTATGGGCAGCAGCCCTTTTTAACTAGTTACTTTCTAGTTAAATAAAGCTCGTAGGAGGCAGGAACCTGTAATATTACTCAGCTTTGAATTCCCTCTCTCTCCTGTGTATGTCCCTTGGGACTGTATCTTAGAACTTTTCTTTTAACTTATGTTAGAATTTACCATCTTAGTCTCTGCTTCCTCCTCTTGTCTTTTAACCACTTCCTGATGTAGCTTTCTTTTGAAAACAGGAAAGAACCGGAGGCTGAAGCAGGCCAAAGAAGAGGCGCAAGCTGAAATTGAGCAGTACCCTCTGCAGAGGGAGAAGGAATTCAAGGCCAAGGAAGCCGCGGTGGGCCCCATTTTCATTACTGCTTTAGTTTCTTAAGGCTTCCCTTTTCTCCAGGCTCTCAAAATACCCAGCATTGCTGGGTAATTCTTGTCCTGGTTGAATTTTAAAGTTTTGGTTATTGTATGTTTTTTGGATACTCAGGCCAAATCTCTTTGGGTGGTCAGTTTTTAACTACCATTGAGTCTTCAATTATTCAGTCATTTAACAAATATCTGTTGAACTGTTAACATGTGCCAGATCCTGGGCCAGATGCTAAGGGGTGAGCTATAAACGGAAATAGACATGGTCCTTGCCCACATGGGGCATAATTTACACGCTGGTGGTCAGGGAGACTCAGTCACGAAATGCAAGTCTATGTAAACCTGCAGCTGTGAGAAGTGTGGTGGCAGAGATACACACGTCACGTGGAGCCATACTTCAGAGCGGATAAAGACATACACCAGTAGCATAAGCTAGAGACCCGTGCATGAAGTATGTACAATAATACTATAAAAACACATTGCTGGGAGTACAGAGGAAGCAAGGAAAATTCTGGAAAGGGGCAAGGGTGGAGAAGGGCTTCACAGAGAAAAGAATCTCTTATTGGGACTCTTGGGTATAAAACAGTTCAAACTGGTTCAAACAAAATGGAATTAATGAAGACCCCAGATGAAAGGCTAACTTGATTTTGATCCAGAAGCTTAAATAGTCATCTGAGGGAATGTTTCTCTGACTCTTCACAACTGGGGCAGATTGGTGCTGTGAGTTGTAGACTGCCCACAGAACGGTGTAGAAGCACTCTGGTTGGGGCAGCCATCCTGTCCTGTGTTTATGTCTCTGCTGCAGTTGCTCATCAGGGCAGTATCCCATACCATGTTATAAGCACGAGCTCTCAGTTTTTCTAGCAGTGTGTCATTGTAACTTCTTCAGTTTTGAGTAGGGAGGCTTAGCATATAGTTTGTGCTCACAGAATAGAGCTGGCGGGGTTCCCCCCCTCTGAGTAGGGATTGTAGGCTTTTAAAAAACAGGACTTAGCAACCGAGCTAACCATTATGAAATGCTCAGGGTGTTCCTGTGAAATGAAAGTGACGGTATAGGGTGAAGAGACCTAGGTTTGAATCTTAACTCGTTCACCCTGACCTCTTTGAGCCTTGGTTTCCTCATCTGTGGAAAAGGGAGTGGTAGCCTCCCCATAGGTTATGGGGCATAGGTGACATGTGAGAGGGTGCATCGTAAACCGTCTCGTAATACACATAGGAAGGGATATGCTCGTTAACATAGGTGGTGAGGTGAGAACAGGTTAGGCAATATGAACGGTCAGACACAAAAAAGTTACGTCTTCAAGAACCCGATAGGTCATGTTCTAATAACGTAGGTATTACAGCAGTTAATGAAAAGCCAGCCATGCCCCAGCTGGTCATGGTTGGTTGGAGCATCAACTCATAAATCGAAAGGTCACCATTTCAATTCCTGATCACGACACAAGCCTAGGTTGTAGGCTCAGTCCCTTCTCTCTAAAATCAGTGAGAAAACGTCCTCGGGTGAAGATTAAAAAGAAAAGAAAGTCCAGCCACATTGTGAAGGCAGTAGAAGGTTAAACTTCAGCGATCAGTGTTTGTTAAATTATGAATGGAGACACAAGGGGTAAGACAGTGAAACATTTGAGCAATTAAATGGGGCAACGATGAGAAGTTGGTCTCTCTCCCACTCAGACATGTAGTTCTCTTCTGAGACAGTGTGAATGGTGTCTTGTGTATTCTAGAATGTTCATGTTTGAAAGAACAGATACTATGTATTCATAATACCAGTGAATTTACTGCTGAACTTAATAGCCAAAACATTAATCATTAGCGGTGAAACTCTATATATTCCTCCTAAATTGCATCCCTCTTACGCCTTTGTTAAACACAGAAATAATAAGCTTATTTTTTAAGAGCTTATTTTAAAAAAACGCAAGGAAACTCATATATAGACCACACTGATACCACTCTGTACCTTGCACTTTTCCCCTTAAAGTGCATATTTTACAGTTCATTCCGTCTTACTGTACACATTTACCTTATCCCTCTAAGTGGCTGACGAGGGTTCCGTGTCGTAGCTGCACCAGCATCTGTTCAACTAGTCTTCAGCCCTTGGCCCTTCAGGTCTCTTCCAGTCGTTGGTTAAAGCTGTACATTTGACTCTAGAGAAATGTGGATGTGTCACTGTCTGGGATCATTTCCTAGCTGTGGAAATGCTGTGTGGTTTACCTTTTGATGGTTTAAGGTTGGTCACCAAGGGACTGCATCAATTTGTGCCCCCGTTAACTTGGGGATTGCCAATTTCCCAGAGGCTCTTCAGTCATGAGGCTCCATTGCCTACTGCTGACTCTTTGTTGATGAGATTGGGTTTCACCAAAAGTACCAAAGTTGCTTGCCAAAGGTTCCTGGCTAACTAGAGTGTTATCCTGACGTTCCCTGTGTGTTATTACTCCCTGGCTTCAGGCTCTGGGATCCCATGGCAGTTGCAGCACTGAAGTGGAGAAGGAGACCCAGGAGAAGATGACCATCCTCCAGACCTACTTCCGGCAGAACAGGGATGAAGTCCTGGACAACCTGTTGACCCTTGTCTGTGACATCCAGCCAGAAATCCATGAAAACTACCGCATAAATGGATAGAAGAAGAAAGAGCACCTGTTCCGTGGATGGGCATTTTAGATAACCTCCGTGGAATAAGAAGCTTTGGCAAAGCTTGAGTTGCATTCTTGTGGAAAGGCATTAAATTATTCCTCTATGTTGTATAGTAGGTCCTTTTAGTTTTTGAGATCAGCAAATGTAGTTTCTTTGTACAAACTTAAAACTTATCCAAAGATTTCTTCTTTTTACTTTATATTTCTTAGAAATTTAATGGGTATACCTTGTCTTTTTCTTCTGTGCCTTTTAGCTCAAGCAACACATACATATATATGTGATAATACTAATATTTTTTTCTTAGATATAGTAAGAAACACTTTTTTTCTCTTTTTTTTTTTAAGAAAGAAAGGGATTAAAATTTTTTTCCCCTAAAGCTTTCTTGAAGGTCAGGGGCTTTATCTATGAAAAAGTAGTAAGTAGTTGTTTGTTACCTGTGTAAAGCAGCAGCCAGCCTTAAAATAGGCCTTTGTGGCTAAGGTTAGAGCAGTGAATGCTAGTATAATTGTTGGAGCTGCTTTTAGTGTCTCAATCAAAATTACTAGATGATAGAATTTAAGAACTATTACATGTTATTACTTTGTGTATTGATAATCATTTAAAAGTAAAGACTCTTTGTCATGCATTTTGTCCCCCTCTGGTTCATCCTTTTTGGTGGTGCAAGATGTACTTGGACTCCGATATTGTGCACGATTTTCCTGAGGAAATTAAATTAGCACGTGTATCACACACACATTCCCAAACCCACTGAGAAAACATTCTTGGTCTGCATCTTGGCAGGAAGGAAAGAATCACTTGTGATTTCACCCAGCAACTGTTTTTGAAAAATAGCGAGCAACTAGTAAGTCAGCAGTTGGCCTTTTCTCTTGAACCCACTGGACCAAGGCAGCCTTGGGCGGGGTGTCAAGCGTGTGTCTCTCCTGGTTGGGTAAATGATACACGTAATACCCTAGCACGGGGGGGTCGAATGCCCTGTAACCCTCTCTTAGCCAAACATCTTTGGCTGCAAAGTAACTTGGTAGGGAGGTACAGTTGAGAGAGAACATTGTGCTATTTCCTTGCTTGTTCTGAAACAGTGCAAGAGAATTAGATGGCCTGTTAAAAATACCATATTTTATATGCTTTAGGATTGGTGGATCTCAGGTCACTTCTGTCTGCAGTTACTGTTTCTTTTTTTAGAATTCCTCAAAAGAGTTTTCTGCATGAGCTTTTGCCTTGTTTTACTGTCAAGGTACTCTAATTAGCACGTGCCCTCCGTTGAAACTGCTTGTGGAGGTCAGCAGTACCAACCAGATGGAGAGGCCCAAACCTTTTCTACCTTATCTGTAGAACTGCTTGATGGGGTTGACCAACGGTTCCTTTGTGAACCACTTTCTTAGCTTCTGCAGCAGCATCTTTGATTCCTCCCCTAGTCCCCAAGGATTTGTTCTTGGACTTAACACTGATTTGCTAAGACACGATCTATGTTTTCTGGCTTTAAATGCCATCTGTATCGAAGACTCAAAATTTATATCTACAACTTACCTTTCCTGAACTCTAGAGTTCTCGACAAATCACTTATAATTTGCTTTGGATATCTAATAAGCCTCTCCACCTTAACATGTCCCAAACTATACCCAGCTTTGTTAGTGTTTACTCTTGGTATCGGTAAGTGTGGCAACTCAAGCCTTGGCTCCCTGCAACCACAGATTTCCCAAACTTGAGGGTCATGGAGAAGCAAGACCTGGATTCGCTGGCTTAGATACAGTATCTTTAACCTGGTTGCCACCAGTATTTGCATGGTGGATGAATGGAGTTGGACTTACATAACTGCTTGACTTTCAGCCAACCTGCCAAGTGTTGTTAGTCACAGAATCAACGGAGTAATTTCAAAAGTGATTTAGGGTCAGTTGAGCCGTGAAAGATCTGAAAGGCAAAGAGGTGGGTGACCAGGAGTAGAGCAACCCAGATGATTTAAAAAGGGAATGGAACGTAAAATGAGTTGGGTGGAGGAACACCTGGTTGTGAAGGAAGGAGGGGGAGAGGTGCAGGAGTGGTTGATGAAGGAGGTGGCTTGAGAGAGGTGAGAACATGTTTAAATGCTGGTGGAGAAGGGAATAGTAGGAGACTGGAAGAAGGTGTTCTGGATGGAGTGAGATCCGGGGCACGGGATGGGACTAGTTCCGCAGCTGTCAACAGTGACTGTACCCAGGGGAAGAGGTGGGTGCTCAGGCCCCTCCCAGGCCAGCTGAATCAATCTCAGAATGGGACCCAGACTAATACCCAAAAGCTCCCTGGAGGAGGGGCTTCCATTGTGGTGTGAGGAGGAATTAGCATCTATCGATTTCTTTGACCACTAAGGCAGGCAGGTATGTTGGTTCTGTTAGGGAATGAATCCCAAGATAAACATGCAGAATAGTGCGATTTGTTACCACTGAGCAGAAAAATAAGACTCAATTGCCTATACTTTTATACAGAATACATCTGGAGGACATAAACCAGTAGCAGTGACTGTCAGGAGTGAGAGAGCCTGGGCTGCAGTGGAAGGGTTCCTTTTTGTACACTCAGCCTACAGGGGTGGTCAGCAGGGTCCCTGCCCTCCACCCTCTAGGTACCCCTTCAGTTGCAACAACCAAAAAATGTCTCTAGGTATTGTCGAGTGTGCCCTGGAGCCCCACACCACCCACAGTTGAGAACTGCTGTCCTACAGCCATAACAGTTGTCAAAGGACCACCTGTAATTCCTGGAATGTTCCAGGTGCTCAGCCAATGTTTTTTGATTTTCTAAAATTTGGTGGTTCTTTTCTCAGTCTGATCGTCCTTGATTACAAGTTCCCAAGTCTTCAGTGATCACTGTTGCTGGTCAGGATAGGATAGGCACTGAAATCTCAGCGACTGGACAACAGTGATTTATCTCTTACAATGTTCCCTGCAAGTTGGGTGACTCAGTGATTCAGGTTACTTCCGCTTTGTGGCTCTGCCATCATCATGGCCCATGGGTGTCCACAACTGCAGAAGCAGGAGAAGAAATAGGAAACATGCACCAGCCCTTACATGCTTCACTCCCGGAGTGACCCAAAACTTGTTCCCAGCCTATTGACTGGTGCAAGTCACGTGATCCAACCAAGCACTATCTGCTACAATTGCTAACGGTAGCTTTCTCCACACCAGCTGGTGTTCTAAGGACTTTTGCATTTATATTAACTAATCATCACAGCATCTTTACGTTATGGAATATGAGTCGGAGGGGTTAAAAAACCAGATGCACCCTGTTAGAGCCAAGATTTGGACTGGCGGGCAGGCAGACTTAGTGGCACCTTTCATCTCCCTAATGGCTAGACTGATGGCTCCTCCCGCAGTTTCATGTGTCGTGAACCTGTCGTCTGGAGTGCCCACGATGTTGCCCATTACACACCGAGACTGACTGTTCCATTTCATGCTATTGCTTAGACCTCAAGTTTTTGGAAACCAGCATAAATAAGTCTGACCCTGTGTATAGTATCTTGCACAAGTTTCCTGAAGATTTACCACTTCCATGTTCTGGGTGGGGAAAAAAAACCCTTGAAGTTCTGAAAGATGAAGCAACTTGTCAGAAGCTGTCTGGTGAATCTCTGCATGCTTCTAGTGAGGAAGGCCTATCACGTGCAGGCATTTTACATAAACCTCCAAGAGCCCTGCACTGCGATCCCCCTTCCACGGATGGGAAGGCTGAGGCCCAAGGGGCTTATAGAATGTTCAAGGCCTCAGAGCATGGAAGTGACGGAGCTGGATTTCAGACCATCAGATCTGCGTGAGGGCTGCAAGAGTAAATCCACCGTGTTTTTTCCCCCTGGACCTTGGTGGGCGGGGCTCTGAGTGATGGTTCCAGAAGTTGAGGAGAGCTGCTTGGTGGGAAGGACCTGTTCTGATGAGTCTTGCATGCCCCATATTTTCACCCTTTTCCATTTTTTTCTCTCCTTCTGGCACAATCTGGCAGATCTCAAGAGTGTTCTGTCAGCTGATCTCACATCATTTCAGTGGCTCTGAAATTATGGAAAAAGCTTCTACACAGGCAGGCAGTTCAAGTCTTGCACCTCACCCCCACCCCTTCCCTTACAAGTAAGCAGGAGAGGCATATTCCTTATCAGAAGATTTGTCCAGTGGATGGGGAGAGGAAGCTGCCAGATCATGTCAACATCTATTTTCTATGGCTTTTAAAATATTTGAAATGACACTGACTAGCTCCTGGGTCGGGTGTGAATTCCAGGCCATAACTCACAGTGTCTGGGTGGATGATTGATGGGGATTGGTGAGTTTGGAGGCAATGCCCCCTCTCCCCCTTTTCCATTAGACAATAACTTGCAGCATTCTAGAACAGATGGCAGCACTTGAGTAGGAGAGAAGCTAGGCTAATTGTTCTGAAAGCATCATGGGGTTGTCCACTATTGTCTTATGGGATTTTAAAGATAAAAAGACTGGAGAGTCTAGCTCTCTAGTTGGACGTTTAACTTTTTTTTTTTTTTTAAGATTTTATTCATTTATCTTTAGAGGGGAAGGGAAGGAGAGAGGGAGAGAAATATCAACGTATGGTTGCTTCTCATGGGTCCTCCACTGGGAACTGGCCTGCAACCCAGGCATGTGCCTGGACTGGGAATGAAACCATGATCCCTTAGCTCGCAGGCCCGCACTCAATCCACTGAGCTACACCAGCTGGGGCTAGACTTTCTACTTTTTAAAATTACTTTTTAATTGCTCTTCCCTCCTCTCCCAACCAGATGTTAGTGCTCCATCTTCAGACTGTGCCCCATTTTATTCCCTTTGTAACTGTCTGTGGCTCTTGTCTTTCTGTGCATAGTGTGGAAATAGATCCTTGACATTTTAGAGGGGTTTGGGCCTCCCTGACAGGAATCTGGGTATTTCTTCTGGTTTTGACCCAGTGTCCTGACAAAGAGCACATGACTCATCTTACTCCCTGCACATTCGTAACAAAGACAGCTGTGTGCTTAGTCCCACGTTCTCACGTGTGTGTCTTGTAGTGGGGTACTCATTGCGTAATGTGACTTGGAATCAATTTAATGCAGCTGTTAGCCATGGAGCATTCTGTGGGGGATGCTTTAGGAAAACTTTTAAAGATAGTTCTGACTTCCCAGCCTGAATCACTGTGGGATTTAGCTCAGTTGGTTTGGCCATGGCAACATTTCAAGCAAATGTTGTAAAAATTAGAAAGTCGGTGAATCCATCACTGGCAGACCAGTTCCAAAATGGAAGATCTCATTTTTGATCTTTGCTTCTCCCTTACTCATCCAGGGGCTCTCCCTGCCCCATCAGCAGCCACACTTGAAGTTTCAGCCGGGTTGGGGAGAATTTAATTTCTTCTTAGTTCATCCAGGTTGCCAGTTAGATGGGTGGTGGCTCTCCAACATGGATCTGTAACCCTTATAAACACAACAGGACAGATGGTACAACTGCTGAGTAAGGGTGGCTTTGGCTGGGGCTTTTGATTATAGTCATGCGTTGCTTAGTGACAGAGATACATTCTGAGAAATGTGTCAGGTGATTTTGTTGTGTGAGCATCGTAGTGTGCACTTACACACACCTAGATGATACAGCTCATTACACACCTGGCCTTCGTTATAACCTTCTGGAACCACCCTCGTATATGGGGTGCACGACTCCTTGAATTTATCTATAGTTGAGCCCCTGATGATTTCATTCGTAGCTGTTTATTCACTAATTCAAATGCATGTAACAAATACTGAGAGCAGGGTGCGGGCGAGAGCCGAGAGCATGAGCAGAAACAGGCCCGTGCCCACAGGTTCACTCTGTTTTTGGGAAATGGGACATTGAACAATGACCATACTATGTGCTGGGTGTGGCCATAGGTTAAGCAAGGGTAACAATGAGAACAGGACCCTTCCGGAAGTGTCCTTCCAGCTGAGACCTAAGAATGTAAGGTGATGAGGTGGGGACGGAGTTTGGGGTTCTCTTAGATGGCGAGGGATGGCAGCCGTTGAGAACCGGAAGTGTTAGAGAGCATGGGGTGGGGGAAGAACTGAGAGGTACTCTGTGTTCTTAGAGCCTAGGGCTTTAGGTGTTGGGGGACAATGGGTAAAGATTAGTACAGGGTAGACTGGGGGTGGGTAGGGGCTTGGGCCCACCACATACAGCCTTGTGAATCCATGGAAATAGCTTTACTGAAGACTGCTCTCTAGAGGACTTTACTAGGTGCGAGCTTTTCCTGGATCTGCATCCACGTGGAACCCACACTCCCTCATGCTATAGTGCCAGGTCCCGCCATGTTTACAGTTCAGAGGGGCAAACGACACGATGTCTGACTGCCCAGGAGAGGAGCTCACTTTTGCCGAGCACTTTCTGCTAAGCACATTGCCATCTCATTTAATTCTCGCAGTCTCTCAGTGTAGCAGATGTTCTTTTTCTTCTCTTATAAATGAAGACACTGAAGCTCAGAGAAGTGAACCAACCAGTACAAGTTCCTGTGCCAGTGAGTGGTGGAGCCTGGTCAGCCAGTTCCAAAGGCCCACATCTTCTGTGCCTGCCCAGCCCAGCAGACTGACGTGCCGACATGTAAGCCCATGCTGGGACATTAGTGAGAATGCAGAGTGAAATTAGCCTGGCAGAAAGAAGAGCGTATCAGGCTTCATGGAAGAGAGGCAGGGACTGGACGGATGGCCAGGGGGCCATAGGTATCACTTTCAATATCCTCTCAGCAGTCAGTAAAGCTCTGACATCTCGAGTTTCTTGCTTCCCCCCACCCCCTTCCCAGATTGTGTTTTGGGAAAACAGGCAAACTAAACAGGGATCTGCTGTGTCTTGCTCAGTGCTGCCCCATACAATGCCTGGCACTTAGTAGGCACTCAGTATCAAGCTTCACTTGCATGGTCAATAAGGGCACCTGGGCAGCATCTGCGGCTGAGCTCCTGTCACTGCTTGCTGCCGCCCAAGCACTGCCTGTGCCTCCGGCGGAGCGTGCCGCCCACTAAGTCCCGTGGTCTGGAGGCCCCAGCAATTAGGCAGTACCTGCCGAAACTAAAATGCACTCCCATCTTGACTCCGCTGTGGAAATGCAGGCTATGGCGTGTTCGCAGCACTGCGGCCATGACCATCCCAGCAAGGCCTGTGAGCTAGAGTGGCAACCCACTCCGTGTCCACTGTGGGGAGGGGCAAAGGCAACAGAGAACCTTCCCACAATACATGGAGCCTAGGCACCCCTTACAAAAGAAAGGGAGGCCGAGTGGGGTGTTCTGGCATGAGATGGATACCAAAGAACTTTGTTGAATGAAAAAGTTGGGTGCCCAGCAGAACAGAATAGGCTCCCTTTTGTATGAACACACATGCGTGTGTCTGTCCATACGTGCTCTATGGAAAAATACACAAGGCTGGTGTCTTCCCTAGGGAGGGGGCACTTTCCATGCAGACCTCTCCGAAATTCCAGGTGGCGGCTTTGGGGGTGGCAGCCAATCTAGGGAGCAGCTACCTAGCACTGTCTGGCAGCTGTCGACACACAGATGATCTCTCATTAAAGCTTTATACAATCCCATGAAGCAGTATAATCTGTTTTGTTTTGTACAGAAAACTAAGGCAGAGAGGCGTTAAATAGTTTACCGAAGGTGATCTAAAAAGTGGAGACCTGGCTTAGAGCTCAGGTGGCCTGGTCCCCAAACCGATGTTTTCCTATAAAAAACAAGTTTCTGAGAAATTTCTGATTCTCAGTATTGCCTCATCCACAGGGTCCCGTGACTGTGTTAGGAGTGGGCTGGACTTCAGAGGTGAGCCGCTGGTCTGACGTGGGCAGACCCAGGCTCAGGGAAGGGCCGGAACTTGTCCCGAGGGACCCCCCCTCGCCCCGCCCCCAGCCCCGCGAGTCCTTGAAGCGGTGCACGTGGTCGGCCAGCGCGGAGGCGCTTCCTGGCTCCCGGGAGAGAGCCCGGCTGATGAAAGGCCTCTGCCAGCTTGGAGTCACCGCGCTGGGAGTAGGCTTCTCTGTTGGCCCCGAGGCAAGCCCGGCAGGCGACTCCTACCGGTAGGGTGACTGTGCTGGGACGGCCCCGGGGCGGGACCCGCGACAGCAGCGCGCGCACGGCCGGCGGGCGGGGCGAGTGCAGCGAGGCCAGAGGCGGCAGCTTCGGAGGTGGTGGCGCGGAGGGGCGGTGGCGCCCCCGACCTCCCGCGTCCTCAGGCGATGGCGACGAGGGCGGCGGCGGGGGCGGGTGAGTGTGCGTGGGCGCGCTCTCGTGTCTGCGCCCTGAGCCCAAATTTGAGCAGCGCGGGCCGGTGCTGCCTGACCGAGACCGCCTGGGTGCTCCTTCCTGGCCCGGAGTCAGCGCCGGGGGCGCATCGAGCTTCGTCCGGACACATTTGGGCCCCTTCGAGTGATTGCGTGGGAGGTGCTCTCTGGCGGCTCCTGGGAGCAAAAGGTCTTAGGGCTGATATTTGGGGTGAGGTGAACCCTGAGACTGCAGACCCAGGGTGGGACTTGGGCAGTGATTGTGGCAATACACAGCTGCCCAAGGCCAAGGCTAGGCGAAGTGATCTGAATGAAGCGATTTGCATTCTGGTCCTGACCGAGATTGGCTCCTTGACCTTGGATAGCGCACTTTCATTTCTGGGTCTTAATTTTCTCATCTGTAAATTGGAGAGCTTGAACCCGTTGTTTCTCAAGGTTTTTTCACCCCAAAATGAATGTGACAGGCTGGCCTGTAGGGCCTCTGGTTGGGACTTTCCAGTTTAACAAAAACCAAACCTGACTAGTGAAAACTGGGATCTGTCTTTCTCAACCCCCTACTTCCCCCGCTGCCCTCCAACCTCTCTTCCCCAAATCTCAGCTAGTCATCTGGTTCCTGGGGAGGCTGGACACTCAGTGTTTGAAGAAATGGAGACCTTTGTTCAGCAGGACTTTAAGGACATCTGCCTTTGCAGGAACTTGCCACCTAGGTAAAAAAGATGGATAACTGGAAGATCTGGTTAAATGCAGAGTCAGCAAAGACAACTAAAAAAAGTTGGAGAAGTTGGGGAGTAGATGGCCAGTGAGTTGCAGGGGCCCCCGGGGCCTGTGCTCACTCCCTGGCTCTGCCTGCACCTTGATAATTTGTCTCCTCCTCACACGCTCCCCATAGGACTGGTACATTCTCAAACCAGGTCCTGGGCTCAGGACATGCTGATAGGTAATGGGTTAGTGTCTGCCCCTGGTCCATCTTGCCAACACCCCTCCTGCCCTCTGCAGCCTCCCGGTGGACAGTGGGCTGCAAGGTGAGTGCAGAGGCTGCCCTGACAGGTCCATCCTGGCCTCTGGGCTATACCTGTCCCCTCCTCGGCAGTCCTCTCATCTCCACCTTTTCCAAGCCTGTCCTCTGCACCAAGGTGCTGTCCACTCCCCCTGACTGCCTTGTTTGCTCATTGCCTTGTTTCTTGCTTCTCTTTCTTTGAGTTTATCTTTTCCATCAGATGGTGATCCCCAGCAGGGAGGTGTGAAAAGGGACTTAAGATTTTATTTTTGGTTTTATAGTGGAGAAAGCACGGTGCCCGGCGCTGTAAGTTTCTTAGGGGATGGCTCTGGAGTAAAAACAGCAACAGCTATATTCCTTCAGTGATTTCTATTTGCCCAGCCCTGCTTTGAGTAATTTACCTGGATGAACTCTTGAAGCCTCACAACAACTGAGCTACTGTTACTATCTCCATTTCCATGTAAAGAAGGGGCAGAGAGAAGTAAAGTGACTTGCTCCATCCAGGTCACGCAGGTGGGACCTGCGGGACTGTGCAGGTTACTTTTAGCCATTGCGTTAAATAGCCAGCCTTTAGTGGAAAATGGATCCAAGGACTGTATTTTCCTGATGGGCCTAGGAAGTGATCAGATGGGGCAGGAAGGAGCTTCAGTGTTTGCCAAGTGCAGGGCAGACATCTTTGGGTTGTTGTTGCTTTCGTGCCTATTGGGGGTACGAGATAAGAGGAAGGAAGTACTGGTGATACGACTGACTGGCAAATGCGCAACGGTGTTTGGGAGTACCTGCTGTGGGCCAGGCCCTGGGCTAGGTAAGGGAACGGTGGTCCCTGCCCTCCCAGGGTGCAGTGTGTCAGGTGTGGTCTAGAATTTGTTGCTGGATCACACCTGGGAAATGCAGTCTTCCTGGACTTAACTCCTTTTTTTTTTTTTTTTTTTTTAAGTGGCATAGGGAATAGGCTAAGAGACACCCAGACTTGGGTTTGGAGGCTCAGGGGCATGGGAGTTATGGACTTGGACTTGGGAGCCAGATGGCCTGGGCTCTCCTGCTGGCTCCACAGTGTCTGGCCACCCTACCTTGGACAGGTCTCTCTTTACATCTTTGATCCTCAGTTTTCTCTCCTGTGAAATGAGAAAAACTTGTAAGGGAAGGGGCTTGATTGGTGAGCAGGGTACTGGGTGTTGCACTTGTATTTCCTTTTGTTACTCCCCACAGCAGTTATGCCAGTTGGGCCTCCCTGAACCCATTTTACAGCTGAGGACAGCAAGGTTCAGGAATTAAGTACCTTGACAGTGAACGTCACAGAGCACGGGAGTGGCCGAGTGGGGATCTTGTCCAGGCTCTTTGGCACCGAAGTCCTCACTCTTTCTCTGTCATTTTGCTGGCTTGTCACCTCGGATGCTGATACAGGTCTGTGTGATGCCTGTTAGTGAAAGTCTCATTTCTGTATATACTTGTTTGGTGGTGGGGGACTCCTGGGTGGTCTTCCAGAGCCTAAAGCCAGGGCCAGCTCAAGTGCATGTGGTCTGCTCAGTCACACAGCGCCCTCCCCATTTAGTTAGGTCCCCCCCACTTTAGTAAGGCTCTACTGTCACCATCTTGAACTTCCTCATCATTTTTGAACAAGGAGCCCTGCATTTTCATTTTGTACTGGGTCCTGCAAATTGCGCAGCTGGTCATTTTTAAAGAACTGAGAGAAATGGAAGGTGGTGAGGGTGTGGGAGTCACGTTCTTCTTTTTAGGGGGCCTGAGCAGTCATGGTCAGCCCTTGGGCCTGCTTGGGATCAAGCGGATGTGTGCTAACCGGACACTTCCTGTCTTCACCAGTATTGGGAAGTCAGCAAAAGATGATTCTGGTGAACTATGTGTATATATTTTTAACAGGACTCATGCTATCCCAGGGACTTAGGCGTGATTTTCCTCGGGGAGGGGTGATTCTCAGCCCCTAGGCAGGGACATCCCAGAGAACGTGTGCAGGTCCCACCTAGAGCTCATGGCACTAGAGACTCCACTTTGGCATCAAGAAGGTCCCCACTAAGGGCATTTCTGCTTTCGTTGGCCAAGGGGGTAAGGGTCATGCCCGATGGGCTGTCACTGACCTGGCTCCTGAGGCTTTGGAAACATACCCAAGGTCTCTCAGAGCTAAGTGCCAAGAGGGTGCATTGCTCCCCTCACTCTTGTTTCCCTCCGCCTCCTCATAGATAGCAGGGACTATTGAACTGGCAGTATTTCCATTTTTTCTTTGACCTCCTGAAAGCTCAAAATCAACTTCTAGGATCAGGATGTCAGCAGCAACCAGAGGTAGTATTTGTGGCATGTGGCCTTTGTTCCACGTGCTGTTTTCTGTCCTTTATATCAGTGGTTCCTGACCTTTTTGGCACCGTGGACTGTGGAAGACGGTGGGGGTGTTGGGGGGGCAGGAGTTGGGGCTTAATGTGGATGTTGGGGTGACGGGGGGCAGAGCCCTGGCCAGCTTTGCTTGCCTCTGGGTCCTAACAGGCCGCAGACCAGTACTGGTCCATGGCCCAGGGGTTGGGGACCCCTGGTTTATATGTGTTATCCCATTGATTCTTTGCAGTAACCCCGTGGGGAGGGTCCCATTATTTAAATAGAGGGAAGCTGAAGCTCTGTGAGGTTAAACCAGTTGCCCAAGTTGACATAACCTGTAGGTTGCAGAATTGATGCTTAGACTCGTTAGTCTGACCCTGGAGTCCATGTTCTTCAACACAAACCACTACCATCTTTGCTAGGGACTCCGATTGCTGGAATAGCTGGGTATTTTTACTCTTCATGGTTATTACTTAAAAAAAAAATCTTTCCTACCATCCTGATTTTCTTTTTGTTGTTTGTATTTTGCAATGTCTTCAGGGGAGCTGTTTGAGATCCTTTGTATAAATAAGTCTCCCCATGACGAATGCAGCTGTCTGCCCTTAGTCAGGGAATGGAAATCCCACATGCCTAGGGGTGGGGCCCCTTTAGCTCCTGGGTTCCTTGTGGGTCCCTGGATGTATGTGTCTGAGCTGGAGAGGACCCAGTACCAGAAGGGAGGTTCTCAGTCAAGGTCTGGGAGGGTTTTAGTTCCTGCCCCTGAGAAGGTTCCTCTGCATGACCAGAAAGGCCGAAGTCAGTGGAAAGACCCAGTTGGCTCCCCCAGGCCTGAAGTTATTTCTTTGCTGTTTTCTGAAGGCAAGTGAAGCTGAGCTGCCTGTTCCAGAATGAACCACAGCCCAGAGAAGGGGAAGTAGCTGGTTCTCTGCTATGGCCTGTGAACCACAGATGGACCCTGGCAGGGCGGCCGGCCACTTGCCCACCTCCTCCCCTGGCTGGAGTGCCCTGCCAGTGGGGAGCGCTCCTGGCTGGGGGCAAGGTAAGGTCATGACCTTGAATTTCTTTCCCTGCTACTTCTCCCAGGATCCTGAGCTGGACACACAGAGTATGGAGGGAGGGGAGTGGGGGGACAGAGAAGTGCCTCTGGATGAGGGTGGGCATTTTGGGATTTGTTTCCAGGCCAGACAAAGGCCACTTTGTTTCCCTCTGTTAACCACCTCCTTAGATCAAGCCACCATCACCCTCTGCTTGGATTCCGGCTGTACTTTCCTGTCTGATCTCCTCCCTGTCTTGCCCCTTCTAGCCACTGACTACATGGCATCCAAAGAGATCTTATTTATTCATTTTAAGACTTTTAAAAATATGCCATGAAATACTATCTTGATTGTGTATTTTCCAAAGTAGTTTTCCAGCCACATCTCTCAGCCCTTCCAAAAGATTTCATCAGTCTTTCCAATGCAATAAAAGATGCTGGAATATAGTTCTCTCCACCTCCTCTTTTTGAAAGCAATAGAATCCTAATGATTGTAATGGTTGTACATTCTTATCTAAAAAGGAAAAGACATTTACAAATGTCAGAAACCCAGTTTTGGAACATTTGCTTTCATCTTGAACTGAATCAGGTAGTTTGTGTGTCTGAAAAAGGCAGCAGCTTGAACTCACTCAACTTGGGCACAAACCGGTTTCTGCGGAGGGGAGGGGTCGGGCGAGAGGGAGCGTGAAGGCTGCCTTGCTCCATTGGCCCCGAAGCGCTAATTTCACAAAGGGACACATCAAAAGTGAGTGCGCAGTGGTGGTTTTAAAACTTTTACTGCAATGCAACAAGGAAGTAAACAGTAATTAGACACCTACCAATACAAAGCCAAAAAAAATGGAAACAGGAAAATAGCTCTGCCCATACTTACAGAGCTTCTCAAATCATGTTGGAAGGGTCTCACATTCAGTGATCAAGAGATGTGAAAATAGTGGTAATTATTCTCGTTTTAAGAAAAATGCCCCTCTTTCCTGCCCACCCCATGTATTTAACATGAAAGAACGGGCTTTCTTGACATTCATTTTATACTGATTTGGAGCAGCAACAATAACCACCAATAATTTGGCATTTCTGTTTATTTGGCATTTCTGTTCCAGAATTTTTTTCAATTTCGTGAAGCCATTATCCGGTGTTGCCATGAAACACAGACTGTAGATTCTAGGTGGCAGAGATTCTTTCTGAAACCAATGTTCCATCAGAGAAATATTAATTAAGGCCAAACAAATATTAAGCAGGGCATCACACTAAATTTCTGGGTATAGTACAATAAAAAGAGTGAAACCTAGGAAGTTACCTGTTGTTCAAATACAAGGCATAGAGACCTGCAAAAGCCGGGTTTTGGTTGTGCATTGTACTTGCCGTTTGGATCTGTAGCATCTGCTGACTGAAGCAGACACGCGCTGTGTTTCCCGCTGTCCTGTAGCCTAGACCCCTCCCTCCCCACCCCAGCAGTCTCCTACCTTATGCTAAGTACTGTGGACATGAGCCCAAGGCATCCCAGACAGTCTAGTGAGCAGAGTTAGTACAATGCACTGGTGGTGTTACTGGACAGGCACTGGCCGGGGAGCGGGTCTGCCTCAGGCCGACCTGAAGTGTGTGGGGGTCTTGGCTTCGTGTAGGAATGATTTCACAAAGATTTTGAGAGTTCGTTTGTTAAGGTTGGGGACAGTGAGACAAAAGAAAGGCTTAGGGCGGAAGAGAAAACAGGAGAGAGCCAGGCGGTGCTCCGCTTTGGCTCCCTAGAAACGTTATAGGAAAGGAGTGAGCAAGGCTGGGCTGCTGTTAGCTCACCAGGAAGTCAGAGAAAAGGGGACCCTGGAGACAGGATCGAGGGGTAAGCCCGGGTGGAGCTGCCTGCCACCTGCTGTTCCCCTGGCTGCAAGTCTCCTGGAGACCTTAGAGTTTAGGAGGAAGTAAAGAGTTCATGCTTGAGGAGGGGCATGGGCACCACCTGGGCCGAGTCTGTCCTGAGAACTCCTTTTTTTGTGGGTGAAAATCTTAGGGGAGGGTTTCAGCAGAATGTGTATCAGCTTTGCAAGTCCATTTTTAATATGCTGATGTATTAAAATGTGTACATAGGGGAGTTTGGGGAATATTTTTCAGTCTGCTAAACTGTTTTACTTTTATCTTGAGTCTGTCTGGCTTTTAATGGGGTTTTTGTTATTTGTTCCCCTGACTTTCTCTGTCCTTGGGTATAGCTGGCACAGATGACATTGAGTCGGGTCTCTGTTCTCTATTTCCCAGACCAGGGAGACTTAAGCTTTGTATTGTCTGGTCAGGGAGGAGAGGTATGAACCATTCGCTCTCAAGTGACCTTGGTCAGGGGAGGTGACTTCCTGCGATTCACCAGCTGGCGGTACGTTGCTCAAACTTTTTGACCCCGTTTAATTTTCCTGTCTCAGTTTCCCCATTGCACTTGCCCAGAAATTTTCCCAGCTGCTTACTATCCTGCCTTAGTGTGAAGCATGAGGTTAAAAAAAAAGTCTCTTTCGGTCTTTATCATAGTTTTGCTCTGGGAGAAAATTGGCAGCCAAGTTCTCATTCTTCTCTCAAGAAAAATATTCTTGTATCACAGGTCCTTCAGGAAGTCCTAATGCCTTTGCCTAGGTGCTCGTCCAGGTTAAAGCTGGGCTAGCTGAAAGGTGGATAGGGCGTGATCTCACTATGCTTCTACAAGGCACACACTTTATTTTATGTTTTACCCTTACCCAAGGACATTCTTTTTTCACTGCTTGTCGAGATAGAGGGGGAGAGAGAGAAACATCGACCGGTTGCTTCCCTGTGTACACCTGGACCAGGGATGAGCACCGGGATCAGGAATCCAAGCCGCAACCTTTTACTTACAGGACGATGCTCAACTAACTGAGCCATACCAGCCAGGCCAGGGCAAGACACACACGTTAGATTCAAAGACACAAACACGCCTTTCTGTAGCTTCCTTTTCCTGAGGTGTCGAATGTAGTTCATACAACCGTCTCCAGCTTCTGCAACTCCCCCACTGCCACCTCCATCCCTCCTGGACCACCAGCTTCTTGAACTGGTTCGCTTAACAACTGAATACAATGCTTCTGGAGTTGGCTAATTTGCTGCAGTAACTTCCTTTTTTCTTTTTAAAGATTTTACTTATTTATTTTTAGAGAGAGAGGAAGGGAGGGAGAAAGAGTGGGAGAGGAACATCAATGTGTGGTTGCCTCTCATGGTGCCCCCACTGGGGACCTGGCCCACAACCCAGGCATGTGCCCTGATTGGGACTTGAACCAGCGACCTTTCAGTTCACAGGCTGGTGCTCCAGCCACTGAGCCACACCAGCCGGCTGTAGTACCTTTCTCGACTTATCTGCTGTAGCAATGCTGCAAGCAGGGAAGGTTCTGTTGAATAATTTGCGTCGTCTGTTGAAACCGAGGCTGGTTCCATAAAAATTCAGGGGACGTCCTCCAGAGCCTGTTCCTGTCGTTGCTGCTGTCATGGTAGCCGTGCTGCAGCCACTGAAGACAGAGGGGTCCCGGCACTCGCCGCTGGAGGGGCCAACCACAGCCTGATGTTCTGTTTCCAGAGATTCCATTAAAAGATACCCAGCTACTCTGTCAGCATTGTTGAAACCGGCTCTCAGGGCTGCAGTTACTCGCTCCGGTTCATAGCCCTGTGACAAGATCTCAGTTATTCTCGTAAGACTGACCTGCCACAAGCACACTGGTTGCATCCTCAAAAAGACCGACAAGAATCTCCTGATGTACGGTGCTGTCAGTTGATGTCGGGCTAGCAACCCCTGGTGTTTCTCCTGGCTTTTCTGCAAGGTTCTCCTGTTCTGTTGCACTAGCAGGTGTAGGCTCAGAAGATGCTGTTGTTGATGTTGGAGTAACCGATGCAGGTGTGGGACTGGGAGCCAGAGCAGGGATGGGGGTTGGGACCTGAGCCACTGCTACCGTTGGGCCCGTAGCAGATGCTTAACAGAAAGGTGGCTGGGCCCTGGCTGGTGTAGCTCAGTGGATTGAGGGCGGGCCTGTGAACCACACAATTGTGGTTTGATTCCCAGTTGGGGCACATGCCTGGGTTGCAGGCCAGTTCCCAGCAGGGGACTCATGAGAGGCAACCATACACTGATATTTCTCTCCTTCTTCCCTTCCCTTCCTCTCTAAAGATAAATAAAATCTTAAAAAAAAAATAGAAACGTGGCTGGTTAGTTACGTGATTTGAGATTTGGCTACCTGAAAACAGGTGTTTTTGTTTTTTTATTTTTACTACTGTCATTAGGAAAGCAATTTACACACACATGCACAAGCAATAGAATGAAATAATTTTCCTTCAGAAGTTGGAACACATCATCTACTGATTTTTGGTAAGCCAGTTCTTAGGCCTTAGTAGGAAATTGCTTCCCCTGTACACACAGAGGAAGCTTTTCGGACCGTTCCCCCAATCTAGGTGTAAAAACAAGGACATCCAAGTGGAGGAACTCGCTGATCTCACGTCAAGGAACAGATGAAAGGGGTTATTGCCAAGAACCCAGGAACCGATGGTTCTGGAGGCAAACAAAGGAACCAGGAAGTCTTTGCATTGCTCGGGCAAACAAACCCTTTGCTAAGCGTGCAGAGAGCTGGCTGGGGAGGGGGCCACACCCTCCACATGTGGAGTCCAGACCTACGTGGGCTTCCCATCGGATGCTGTGAGTTCGGAGAGCAAGTCTGGCCCCATCCAGTGTGAGTGCATGCATTTTGTGTACATCTTTTCTTCTCTTTATTTAAAAAAATTATTTGTTCACTCACTCACTTATTTTTAGAGAGAGGGAAAAGGAGAGAAAGAGAGGAAGAGAAACATCGATGTGAGAGAAACATTGATCAGGAGCCTCTCATATGTGCCCTAGTCGGGGATTGAGCCCACACTCTGGGCATGTGCCCTGACTGGGAGTCGAACCGACAGTCTTTTGCTTTTGTGGGATGACTCTCAACCCACTGAGCCCCACATGGGTCAGGGGGCTTCTCCCCCTTCTTCCTTTCATCACCCTTGGTGACATGGTCAAGTTCCTTTGTTCATCTTTTGGGGACTCTGTTTCCCTTTCTGTGATAACGGTTATCAATCTAATTTTATCTTTTCAAATTTTATTTTTATGACGCCACCTTAAATCCTTTCTGGTGTGGGAGGGTAAAAACAAATGCCCTTGAACAACACACTTTTGGACTGTGTGAACCCACTTAACATGCCAACTTTTCTCAGTAAATACCTGGACGTTTTCAGTCCGTGGTGGGAGACTGCGGATGCGGAGGGCTGACTGTAGGCGCTGGTCTGTGCCTTTTATATACGGGGCTTGAGCGCCTGCAGATCTCGTTATCTGGGAGGGGTCCCAGAACCAGTCCCCCGTGGATACCGAAGGACGACTGAAGTTTTGAGGGATTCGGAAGCTATACTTAGATTTTCAACTGTGTGGGGAGGGGCAGGGGAGAGGTCAGTACTCCTCACCCCACGTTGTTCAAGGGTCTGTCAGCTATACAATGGAGTCAGCATTGCTGTGTTGTAAATTGTTCTGACGTGCTTGCTTTTAAGTTATGACAAGAAGAGTGGCCAGTTACTCAGCACCCATTTTGGGCGGAGCTCTTTATTTTCATTATTTGAAAAGTGTCCTGAAGGAGACTTAGAGGGACCATCCTCTAAGTGGAGGGCCCGGGAGTTAGTTGCTTCTCCAAGGTTACCCTGTTAGCGAGAGGTGGAGTTACAGATTGAACGCCAGACGGCTGGCTTGTGTTTTTGTCCATCTCCTCTGATCAGATGAAGGAAGGCTCATGGTCACTGTGCCACCCTTTCTCCCTGCGGTGCAGGGAGCTCCTGCCCCGAGTTTTCAGTCCAGCTGGCCACGGCCTCAGTCCGATCTCATCGCAGGCCTGCAGGGCAAGAGTTCTGATGGCTGTTGTGAGTAGCCTGCACTGGTGGGGTGTGTTTTTTGAGCTTGAAATTTATGCTTTTAAAATGGTGAGTGAGTTGCAGATACACTGGGAGGGGTTACCAGTCAGTGTATGAATTTCCTATAGTTGCTGCAACACATTACCACTGCCGTAGCGGCTTGCAAACACACGCTAATCTGCTCACAGTTCTGTGGGTGAGAAGCCTGCTTCTGACCTCGCTGAGTGGAAGTCCTCACCGTGTTGGCAGGGCTGCGTTCCTTCAGGAGGCCTGGGGGACATTCTGTTTTCTTTCCTTTTCCAGCTTCTAAAGACTGCCTACACTCCTTGGCTCGTGAACCCTTCCTCCATCGTTAGAGCCAGCAGTGATCCGTCTCTGTGCCTTTCTACCATAGCCACATCCCTCCTCACTCTTTTGTCCCCTCTTCTATTTTTAAGGATCCCTGTAGTTACGTCTGGCTCCCCCTTACATGGTCTTGCATTGCATCCTAATAGCTTCCACACTCCGGTCTCAGTTCTGCCTCCTGGGGGCTTTCCTGCCAACTCCAGTTCTTCTGTAGGGATTAGCCACCCATGCCTGCCTGCCATGAGGAGGTGATGCCATCCGGCTCTGGGCTCATCAAAGTAGTAGTTACTGCTCAGCCAGATGAAGCTTCTGTCTGCTTTCAGAGCTCCACAATGGCCAGGTCCTTACAGTTCTCCGGATCGATAATACCTGCGCACCTATCTCCTTCGATCTGGGAGCTGCAGAAGAGCAGCTGCAGACCTGGGGCATTCAGGTGAGTGCCGATTTTATTAAGTCCTCACCATTTTCTTCCTGTCCTCCCATCTGCCGATCCATCCTGCCTTTCATCCAGTTATTCACAAAATCTCGATTTACTATATGCTTGCTATAGCACGAGAGAGAAGGAAGATGTGTTAGAACTGTCCTCCCTTCTTCACTCTGCGCCAGGCACTCAGCCGGGCAGTAAGTACTGCAGAGGTGCATAGGCCCCGGTGCCTGTGCGCACATGGCTCCCCGAGCCCAGTGGGGGAGATGGACATATGCTGGGTGGGTCAGACCGTGTGACAGAAATGCTGCGGTGGAGGACCGTGTAAGGCAGTGAAGACCTTCACTGAGAACATGGTCGACCTGCCTGGGGTGTGGGCAGTGGTTGTGGAAGCTGCACTGAGGAGCGGACATTGGTCTGGGATCTTGAGGAAAAACAGGAGTTTGCTGGGTTGGCGGGAGGAAGGACATTTCAGGAGAGGGAAGAGCATATGGATTCATTGGCTGGTAATGATAAGGGCAATATTAATACCGTTACCTAAGGTATTTGTGAAGATTAAGTGAAGTAATGCCGGAGGAACACTTGCGTTGTCCCTGTCACATAGCGAATGTTCAATAAATTGTATTGCTGTTGTCATTACATGCCCACACCTGTGGGTCTCTTCCCCCCCCCCCCGCCCTCCCCAGGGAGGGTGATCTGGGCGTGGGGAAGATACACAGCTCGCGTTCCCCTGCAGGCTTGAGAGTTTACTTCTGCAAGCTGAATTGCGTTACTGTTTAACACAACATTCTATCACCATTAAGGGGAAACTTCCCGAATTGATAGCACCGAGCCCACATCAGCACAACAGCTGGTTTATCGTCCCACGTTTCCCTTCAGTCTTTGTTTAGAAGAACACTTGTTTTTAAACAGTTATCTTTAGGTGAGGTTCTGTTAGCCCACGGACCGTTTACGTGCTGTTCTGCTGTTAATCTTCCTTTCATGGTGAGATTCCGATTCCTTAAGCAGCTCACTCTCACAGGCCTTTTCACACTGTGGCATTTGTGTGTGGGCAGGAAGCTGCGAGTTTTCAGGAGTGGACTGTGTGAGCACGTACCTGAGAGTGCAGGGTTGACAACAGCACTCGGGCATTGAGTGCTCACTGTGGGCCCTGCGCCAGTGTACCCGCATCCTTAGATACGCACGTCTGTCCAAGTAAGACGTGACCGACTGTGGAAAGCAGCACCAGGGCCCCAGAGATGTCCAGATAATATGTATGTACATGTAGTCACTGTATAATGCATGTATAAGTACTGCATATGTATTATCTTCTATAAGGTGGGCACTCTTAGTCTCCTCATTTTCCAGAGGAGGATTCAGAGGCTCAGAGAAGAGGAGTTACTTTCTCCAGGTCACACAGCACATGAGTGGCAGGGCCAAGGTTTACACCCAGGGCCGGCTGACTCCCAGGTCTGTGCGTTCACCTTTAAGGCTCTGCTGGGTCTGCCGTGAGGGACCGAACCTTGGGCTGCAGGGATCCCTCTGTGGGATGTCCTCTCGAGCTGGCCCACCTCCCCTGTGATGCCTGGCCTTCCCTGAGCTGGGAGCTGCACCCTGCGATTGCTGTCAGCTCTTTGAGCTCCTCATTCAGCCTTCTGGTCCGGCCCACACAGAGCCGGATCCTCCTTCCATGTGATGGTCATGTGAATGGGAAATGACATGCTTGCTGGCAGGAAGGAAGGGTCCTCTGCAGCTGATTGATCCCTTTCTCTTGGGTGGCCAAGCAGGTCCCGGCTGACCAGTACAGGAGCTTGGCTGAGAGCGCCCTCTTGGAGCCCCAAGTGAGAAGATACATCATCTACAACTCCAGGCCCATGCGGCTGGCCTTTGCTGTGGTAAGGAGGGGCTGGGCCCACGCTGCCCCGCCGCAGCCCTGGTGGCACTGCTGAATTCAGGGTGCTGTGCTGCAGCCTGTTGGTGTGGGTAAGGGGCTGGGGGCTGCTGGCCCAGCGCCTGGGAGAGGGCAGCACACACGCACCCGCATTTCGTGTAAGAGGAGATTTATGGCAGAGAGTTGTAGCCAGGTCACCACGTAAAGGATGGGAGGCAGGGATTCCTGAGGGCAGAGCTTGGGATTGGGGGTCTGCAGACCCATCACTGAGGGTCTGGACTCAGTGTTCAGCCTTGGTCAAGACGTTTCTCCTCTCTGGGGCTTGGTTTCCCTGTTTGTTCAACAGATGGGTCCATTTTAGCTCTAATTGTGTGTGTGTACACACATGTATACATACATGTATAAACATACACACACCCCTACATATATAATCCTACACACGCACACGTGCATACATACATATGGCAGAGCCAGTATTTGAACCCAGGCAGTCAGGTTTAACCACTCTTAACCACCATGACTTGCTGCTTCTCTAAATGGTTGGAGCACTCCTAACCCCTATGTCCCGCTTCTCAGGAAGGGCGAAGGATGGCAGCCAGCTTTCGTTAATTTTCTAATAAGTGCTGGGTTGTGAACATGTTATCTCATTAAATGCTTATATTAGCCCTGTGAAGTAGGTGTCATCCCCATTCTACAGATGAGGAAACTGAGGCTCAGAGTCTTTATAACTTGTCTAGGCCATACAGCTATTGAAGGAGCACTGTGGGTTTCTCACTCATATTTCTCCATCTCCAAAGCCTGCTGCCCTTTTCTGTTTTATTTACAAACCAGGGCAGGCAGGGATTTGGAGTAACTCTTCTAACTCCGTTTCTGTGCCTTCACTTATGATCCAGGAACAAGGGCTCATTCTCACAGGCTCTGTGACCTCTGTGAATCTGAGGAGGTGTCGCAGGTGCCCAAGGGTGTCCCCTTGACTGGAGCTGCTTTGCTCAAGGACTGGCGTCCCTGACCTTGCTCTTGGCCCGGCTTTTCACAGGTTTTCTACATGGTGGTGTGGGCCAACATCTACTCCACCAGCCAGCTGTTTGCCCCGGGGAACCACTGGGTGGGTGTGCTGCTCGTGACCCTGGCCGCCATGAGCCTGACCCTGACTCTCATGCTCATCTTCGAGAGACACCAGAGGAAGGTGAGATGTCCTGAGACCCCAGCCACGCCCCCTGCAGACGTGCTTTGTGGGCAGGAGGGTCCGCAGTGAGAGTTTTTCTCTGTCACCCGCTTCGACAGATTGCTCCAACCTTGGCGTTCACACTGGCCCATGTGCCCAGTGACTGAAAGAAATTAAATCACATGTGTGGTTGAATCCTGTCTTTCCTGTCTAATCGCTGTGGGCTGTTTTTCTGGAAGCAAGCTGTGTTGTAAGAGCGCCCGGGAGGTGGGAGGAGGGCACCGAAAGCCAGTATGAGGAGCGGTTACTGGGTGCAAGGTGCCTGGGGCTGAGGGTCGAGGGAGGTGGGTTGACAGTGCAAGGTGCCTGGGGCTGAAGCTCTGGACTCTGTTGACTGTCCTGTCTCATTTAACTCCAGCAGTGCCTTCTGAAGTAGTGAGTGGGTGGTCAGAGCAGGTTACTCGGCCTGATCCCTCTGTGAGTGGCAGAGCAGGGGTTCAGAACCCTCTGATTCCCGATCTCATTCACAAAGGAGATTAATACCTCCTGGCTTATGTGTGGTTCACTAATTGTGTTCTGCTCCTTTAACATCGGTCTTTTGTTACTTATTGAGCACTTCATCTGTGGTTGATCTCCTGTTAAATGCTTTATGTACATTAACTCATTAAACCCCTCCATTAAGTCCCTGGGTAGTCTTTCATGCTCATTTTACAGATGAGGAACCCGAGGCTCCAAAAGACTTGAGGAGTAGTCCAAGGCCATGCTGGTAATAAATGGCAGAGCTGGAATTCAAGGCCAGGACACTTAGATTCCAAGCTATGTTCTCAGTATCCAGCTCTCTTGGTATTTCCTGGGTGCTGTAGCAGATCGCCATAAATGTGGTAACTTAAAACAACACAAATGAGTCACCTTACAGCCTGCTGCGTCCTCTCTGGAGCCTCTAGGAGAGACTGTTTCCTTGCCTTTTCCTGGAGGCCACCTGCATTCCTTGGCTCCTGTTTCCTTCCTTCATCTTCAAAGCCTCCAGTGGCAGATCAAGTCCTTCTCACATCTTCGACTCTGCATCTTCCTGCCTCCCTCTTCCCTTGTGATTACACTTGTCTGCCTGGATAATCTGGGGCAGGCTCCTATGTTAAGGCCGGTAATTAACAATGTTCATTCCATTTATAGCCTTTATTCCCCTTTGCCATGTAATGTAACCTGTTCATAGGTCCCGGGGAATAGGACTTTGATCTTGAGTGGAGGGTGCATTATTCTGCCTGCCACACCTCTTTCCAGGGCTTAGAAAGCTCTCCAGCACTTGACACAGAGCTGGACTTTGAGAACTTTAGCAAACACTCTGCTCTTGTGTGACCCAGGAGTAGAGGGTGGGGTGTTGGCAAATTTGGCCGTAATTTGGGGTATGAGTTCCATTTAGTGCTCATTCTGGAAAGATGTTTCTTTGGCTTTTGCAACAAAGCTGACAAAATAATGCTGCCTTGGATTTTGTTGAAGATTTCATGGCCTTGCATTTGGCCTACAAAAAAAAAATTGAACTGGCTGTTCCTGCAGCAAGAAACTTCTCTTGGGACAGGGGAAAAAGCAAAGTATTTTCTGCTTCAGCAGGAGTGAGTGAAGTTTGTGCACCTGGCAGGTGCGTCAAGGATGCAGATGTAATCAGTGCTGTTCAGGGAATGCTCACTGTGGCTGCCTCCTTTCCCCTCTTCTGTCCTTGTTCAGTAGGTATCTGTGAAGCCCCTGCGAGTGCTAGGTGATGTGCCAGGCACAGGGCGCAGAGATGAACCAGACTTTGCGTCTGTACCCAGCGGATGCAGCTTGGAGGCCCGGTAGGCAGTGGTACTCCTGTCTTCGCTGTTTGCTCATTCAGGGAACCCCTTCAGGGTCTTTTCCTTCCTAGCAAAGACTGCCATTTAATGAGCACCTGCTGTGTGCTCTGACTTTGGAATCTGCTATCCATGCCCAACAACAGGGTGACAAGGAGGCAGTATACCTGTGCCATTTGCTAGCTCTGCAACCTGGGGTAAGTTATTACCGTACCTCCCAGGGCCTTAGTTTCCTCATCTGTAAAATGGGATAATAATCGTAGTATCCACCCTGCAGGTTGTTTGGAGAATTAAATGACTTAACACATGCAATTACTTATCATCGAACCTGGTATAAGGTAAACACTCACAAAGTGTTACTCTTAGGATTATTGACTCCGTTGGCCAGTGAAGAAAAAAGCTTAGAGAGGTCAAGTAACCAGTCCATGGTCATGCAGCCTCCTCAGGTCTTGCCTCAGCTCAAGGACTTCTTCCTCCTTGGACCCCTTATCAGTCAGGACCATGCATGTTCTCCTTCCTGACCATTGTCATTCTTATTGCTAGTGTCCCACCTGCCTCAGGTAGCATCCTTCAGCGTCTTAGCGCTTTGCATACAGTGCCTTGTTTTCCCCTGGCGGGGGGCAGTGGTAGTCTTTCTCAAAATGGGAAGGTCTGTGGAGGCAGGCACACCCTGTCTTGCGTCCCCTCCAGAATAAAGCACGTTGCCGAGGCATGTGGGAAGTTCCTAAAGATATTTGTTGGCAGCCAGTATGGTACAGTGGAAAACAATGAGTTTTCAATGCAGTATCATCATTGTAGTGTTATCATTGCCTGACATGTATTGAGTGTTTATTCTTCAAAGTATTCTATGTGGATGAGCTCATTTCATCCTTATTATAACCCTTATTAGAAGGGAATGTTAGTATGTCCAACTTGGAGATGAGGAGATGGGAGGCAGAGAGATAGTCGGGATTGGAACTCTTGGTGATGTAGGTGTCTTCTTTTTTTAAAATGTATTTTGTTGATTATGCTATTACAGTTGTCTCATATTTTCTCCCCTTTATTTCCCTCTGCCTTGTACCCCCCTTCCCACCGGCATTATCACACCCTCCTTAGTTCATGTCCATGGGTCATACATGTAAGTTCTTTGGCTTCTCCATTTTCTATACTGTTCTTAACCTCCCCCTATTTGGTACCTACCATTTATGCTTCTTATTCCTTGTACCTTTTCTCCCATTCATCCCTCCCCCTCCCCACTGATAACCCTCCTTGTAATCTCCATTTCTGTGATTTTGTTCCTGGTTCTAGTTGTTTGCTTAGTTTGCTTTTGTTTTTTAGGTTCAGTTGATGATCGTTGAGAATTTGTTGTCATTTTACTGTTCATAGTTTTTGTCTTTTTCTAAGATAAGTTCCTTTAACATTTCATATAATAAGGGCTTGGTGATGATGAACTCCTTGAACTTGACCTTATCTGGGAAGCACTTTATCTGCCCTTCCATTCTAAATGGTAGGTTTGCTGGATAGAGCAATCTTGGATGTAGATCCTTGCTTTTCATTACTTTGAATACTTCTTTCCAGCCCCTTCTTGCCTGCAGTGTTTCATTGGAGGAATCAGCTGATAGTCTTGTGGGAACTCCTTTGTAGGTAACTGTCTCCTTTTCTCTTGCTGCTTTAATATTCTCTCCTTATCTTTAATCTTGGGTAATGTAATTATGATGTGCCTTGGTGTGTTTCTCCTTGGGTCCAATTTCTTTGGGACTCTCTGAGCCTCCTGGACTTCCTGAAAGTCTATTTCCTTTGCCAGATTGGGGATGATTTCCTTAATTATTTTTTCAAATAAGTTTTCCATTTCTTGCTCTTCCTCTTCCCCTTCTGGCACCCCTATTATTTGGATGTTGGAATGTTTAAAGGTGTCCTGGAGGTTCCTAAGCCTCTCCTCATTTTTTTAAATGTATTTTTTAATTTTTAAAAATTTATTTATCTAGAGGGGAAGGAAAGGAGAGAAGGAGAGAAATATCAATGTATGGTTGCCCCTCGTGTGTCCCCTGCTGGGAACTGGCCTGCAACCCATGCATGTGCCCTGACTGGGAATCAAACCACGATCCTTTGGTTCGCAGGCCCGTGCTCAATCCACTGAGCTACACCAGCCAGGGCTCTCCTCATTTTTTTGACTTCTTGTTTCTTCATTTTGTTCTGGTTGAATGTTTATTTCTTCCTTCTCTCCAAATTATTGATTTGAGCCACAGTTTCCTTCCCTTCACTGTTGGTTCCTTGTGTATTTTTCTTTATTTCACATTGCATAGTCTTTACTTCTTCTTCTATTTTGCATTTGTACTCATTTATCTGAGCATCCTGATTACTTGATTAGTGTTTTTAAAAATATTTTATTTATTTATTTTTAGAGAGAGGAGAAGGAAAGGAGAAAGAGTGGGAGAGAAACATCAATGTGTGGTTGCCTCTCATGTGTCCCCTACTGGGGACCTGGCCTGCAACCCAGGCATGTGCCCTGACTGGAATCAAATCGGTGACCCTTTGCTTCACAGGCCCGTGCTCAATCCACTGAGCTACACTAGCCAGGGCTGATTACCAGTGTTTTGAACTCTGCATCTGATAGGTTGGCTATCTCTGTGTTGCTTAGTTCATTTTCTGAAGTTTTGATCTGTTCTTTCATCTGGGCCATATATCTTTGTCTCAGCACACCATTCTGGATGATTGTTTCTTTTTTTAACTCCTTGGTTGTCAGACTTCCATACGGTTTGATTTTCTGGCAGTTCTGGTTGTTTTTTGTTTTTAAATTTGTTGTTGTCCTTCTTTTGGTTGTGCGAGGATGCAAAGCCTCTCTACGCCTCCATCTTGGCCACAAGTCTGGTGACGTATGCTTCTGAAAGGGTGAACAACCCTTGCAAATGTTTTAGGCAAAACAAAATAGAATCATCTCTTGATTTTCTTAACAGTGGCATTCTTGGAAAATTCATTGTATTTTAAACATGTTTAGAAATAAATTCACTTTAGGTTTACATGTTTGATGGAGTTAGGTTGGCCTGTTTTTTCACCTGGATTCTCACTCAGTGTACATTTTAGTCCAGGTTGGCTAGGAGACAGTTCTGTATGTGGGATTGTCTCATGGGACATGGCCTTCACTAACAGGCATGCGTTTAGCGTCCCTGCCTCCAGTCCCTAAGTGCCAGGTTTGCCCTTCCCATCCCTATGACCACCAAAAGGGTCTTCTTACATTTTCAAAAGCTCCTACAGGGGTCCTGATGTTTAGAAAACCATTGTCCTTGAGTGAACTGGCTTCTAATCGCATCCAAAAGCCCTTGGAGGGGGCTGTCTCTGTCCCACAGCAGCACTTTGGACCCGGACACCCTTCTTCTTCCTTCTCCTCCCTAGCCTGGCTTAGCATCTACTTTGTCAGCTGAATCTACCATGACATTGGTTTGAGTGGGAAAAGAAAGAGACAGAGTTGCAAAGTGCACCCCTGCACACCCTATGCTGAGGGGCCAGGCACTGTACTAGGTACTTTGGAAAGTAGGTGCCTTATAGACAGAGTAGCTGCTTTACTTACACAATAAGTGCTCACTCACCCCCTATCTCCTCCTATCTCCCCTCCACTCCCTCTCCTCCCACAGATGCCTATGGCAGCTGACTGTGTTCCAGGCACTGGCTTGAGTGCTTTGCACACACAAACTCAGTGAATCTCCCCACATTCCTAGGAGGCAGAGATACTCTTTATCCTTACTGTGCAATTGAAGACAGCAAGATTGAGGGAAGGAACGTAGCCTGCTGGAAAGTAGCAGAGCTGGGCTTCACCCCAGGGCTGTCTGACACTATGGAATTTATTGTCTCAGCAACTCCACAGCCCCACTTCATAGAGGGATGGGTGTGTCTCAAAGAAGAGGATTGTCCCATGGTGTCTAGCGGTGGGATGTTGTGTGGTTCTTTCTGGAACCCAAGAGCTCCCTGGCAGATCTGGCCACAGGGCTCACGTTTGTCTTACAGGCCAACACCAACACGGACCTAAGGCTGACGGCTGCCAACGAAGCCCTGCTGCGTCACCGGGTGCTGCTGGGGGTGACGGACACGGTGGAAGGCTGCCAGAGCGTGATTCAGGTACCGTGTATCAGGGTGACCTGTCCCCGAGGGCCTACTTTGAAGCTGGGCTGGGCTGGGCTGATGGGGAGTGGGGGCCCCACGTTCTCCTAGTCTGCCCGATGTCTTGCAGAGTCTGCTAATGAGATGGTGTAGGCAGTCCTTCTCTTCCTCTTTGCCCCAGTGTTCCTTCCTAGAGAGAGACTCTTCTCTGGGTGGTAATCAGCAGCCTAGCACCTCCGAGGCAGGCCTGGAGGGGAGACTGGACAAAGACTGTCCATGCCTCATTCCACATTCAGCACTGACTCACCAAACAGACGTGGCCTCCTCTGTGTCAAGCACTGAGGGGCCCATGCAGGGCCCGTGCAAGGCTCCAGGAGAGGCAGGTCAGATCCCAAAGGCACTGTCTGCCTGGCTCCATTGATTTCTTTACTCCAAAGACAGTGGGGAGATCTCAGCTGACTAGTATGAGGTCACACAGTGGGTCTGGGGCACAGCTGGGTTAGATGAGCCCCACTGGGCTTCCCACATGGGGTTGCTAAATCTTCTCATCCTTGCATCTGCCTTCTCCCACCTGTCATTGCCCCTTGTGAGCACCAGGGTGGGCGCACCAGGATGGGCTTGTGGCTGGGACCTGGGAAGAATCTCCTTGTGCACGTCTTCTGTTCATCCCACAGATATTTACCGAGAGCCCGGTATGTGCCAGGTTCTAGGTTCCGGGGCTGCAGCAGAGAGCACACACAGGCGGACCCTTGTGTTTATGGAGCCTAGCACACCTGAGATGGTGTAGAGTGAGAAGGGAGCTTGACTGACCGCAGAGGGTGAACTTGATGGCATTGTAAGATGGCTGGCAGTTCAAGTGCGACAGACAGACTGAGAGGTCCCTGGATCTGGGGGTCTTCTCAGCCTTGTTTATCCCCAGATCCTCTTTAGGGATTGGCACTGAGGGGTCACTTGGCAAGTGGATGACTAGTGAGTGGCCACATCTTTTCAAATAATTGGGTTCTTTCAGCTGCAAAGTAGTATTTTTGGGATGAGGTGATACAAGGGCTTGGATTTTCTGTAGGACCGTTGAGATGGGTGGGGTCGGGGATGGAAAGTGTCTGGGTGAGGGATGGGGTGGATAGAAAGGAAGCAAGAGTGGTCATGAGGTGGTGGTGGCTATTGACCCCAGATGGGGGCAGCTGGAAGTTAATGACATCGTTTGCCCTACTTTTGTGTTTGTTTGGAAATTTTCATGATGAAAAGTAAAAAAGTAATTTAAAAAATGTTTCCTTGGGGATGAGACGATGGGAGGGGTGAGTCGGCAAGAGGGAGGTGGCCTTGGCTCCCATGGGTCAGTCCCTGGGAGGAGGGAGGCCTGGGATCCGGAAGAAGCGGTCAGCGACTGGAGGTGTGAGACATGGGCTCCCAGTTTCTTGCAGAACTTGGGGGCCACGTGGCAGGTGTGGACCTGACAAGGTGATGTGATGTGTGAACATAGAGGATTTTGGTCCCAGCCAAGTTTATTCTGGCTTTCTGGGGGCTGTTGAGGTTGCGGAGGAAGGGGAGGAAATGGTGAGGTGAGGACTCCTCCCCCTGCTGCCCTGCCCACAGAGCACCCAGGTCGATGACCTCTGACTTGGTTGGGGCCTGTAAGGGGGATGGCTGTGAAGGGTTCACTCATTTGCCTGTTGGTTTCCAGAAAACAAAGGCATCTGGTCTCTGAAGATGGAGGTGGTAGCTTTGGATGGATCCATGATGTCCAGGGTGGTCTGGAGTCTGTCAGGTGCTTAGTGACGTGTGGGAGGTGGGGCTGCAGCCATGGCGAACAGGTTTACCCTCAGAGTCATCTTCCTGTCAACTGTACAAAGGAGATATCTTCATGCACGGGGACCCTGGGAGAGAGCAGAACGGCATGTTCCGCTAGAGACCAGGATAATTCAAGGGTCCGCAGAAGGATGGACCTCTGGCAAGGAGGCAGGAGGTGGAAGACCATCTCAGGGACTGGCTTTGAGCCTCAGGGCTCATAGCTGCTTTTCTCCCCAGCTCTGGTTTGTCTACTTTGACCTGGAGAACTGTGCGCAGTTTTTGTCTGAACATGTTCGAGAAATGAAGACTAGCCAAGAGGTAAGATATGTGAAATGAAAAATAACAACAAAAAACCCTGGGAGATTGAATTGTACAGATTGTATCACTTCCGTGTTGGGAAATGTCTAAGGAAAAGTTACTCAGAAGGAAGACCATCTCTGTCAAATCAGAGGTGGTTTTGCCGAGGGACTTAAACCTTTTTAACTAATTTCATTTTAACCGATCTCCATTTTAACTAGTGGTATGTTCCACATTTCCTGTAGTGAACATATATTTATTTATTACATTATAATAATAGTAATAATAATAAAGATGCCGGGAGAGGAAAAGTACCACGTGGTTAGGAGACTTTCACTTGTTCAAAATGCCTGCCTGCCATTTATGAAGAAGATTGTGGAACTCTTGCTCTGACTCCACAGGTGAGGAAACTGAGGCTCTGAGTAGCCCTGTTGGCACCATTGGGTGGACACAGAGCAGGTTGGTGATGCCCAATTTGGGCCCGGCCTTCCTGTCTCCAAGCCCTGGCCTCCTCCTTTGGGATCAGCTTTTTCCTGGGCCCTGTAGTTCATCTTGAAATCAGGATTGTGGTTTAGTCCTGACCTTGGCCCATTAGCTTCTGTATGGCTTGGGGCAAGGCCTTTGAGCTTCAGTTTGCTCATCTGCAATGTACAGATAGAGATATGCATGTATGGATAGAGATATCCACGTCCCAGGCCGCTTTGAGGAGCCAATGAGAGCTTGGAAGGAAAAGTGCTTTAGAAGCTATTAAGGGGATTTCCTATCTCTCCAGTGTGGCTCAGCTCCACCGTCTCCCGAGGTCAGCCTCTGGGTCTGTAGAAGGCCCCTCCGTCCTCTGGGGGTCCGCAGCTCAGACAGCGACTTGTCCTCTCGCATGCCACCCAACTTAGGACACCACCCTTGCACCCTCTCTGTTTCCTTTGCAGTCCTTGCTGAGAAGCAGATTGAGCCAGCTCTGTGTTGTCATGGAGACTGGGGTAAGCCCCACGCCACCGCCAGAGGGGCCTGAGAACCTGCTGGAGGACACTCCTCTTCTGCCCAGCAGCCCTCATCCCGCAGACAAGCCACTCATGCAGACTGAGCTTCACCAGCTTGTTCCTGAGGCGGAGCCAGAGGTAACAGCACCTGGGCCGGTCGGGGTCCCCTTCTTTCTGGGGTATTTGTGTGGAGTCTGAGTGGGGACCTCAAGGTGTAAATTCTGGGGGCACATGGCTTTATTGAGTTGGTAAAGACATGCAGATCCAGCCTACTGGTTTTCAATATTTTTCTTTTTACTCCGGCACTTCGAAAAATAGTTTACAGGAGTCATTTGCTACTCACTTGGTTCCCCAACACCCCCTTTAAAAAATATTTTGGATATTCTTTTTAGTAGTTCCACTGGATGTGCAGTTGTGTGTTGATGGATTGTAGATTGCCTACCTAGCCATGAACGTGTTGATGAATGTTTGTGTCATTTTAAAATCATTTTATCAGTCCATCCATCTACTTGAATTGCAGTTAGATATTTAAACTTTGTATGCATCTCTGTCGAATTCTAGTTCCTCCAGCCCCAGAGTTCTGTTGGTCCTGCTAAGGTCTCTGTTGGGTTGGACCAAATGCTGGTAGTTCAGAAATCTGAAGTGTTTGTAGCCTGTGCCACATGCCCTCTTCTCACTGTGAGGACTCACTGTCCGGGAGACGTGTAGCGAGGGTGACCTCGGGCATGGTGTGGTGCAAGGGGGTGCTCGCATTTTCTTTAAGGACAGCAGATCTGGGGATTACATGTCCCAACCAGCCCAGACTGTCCCTTGTGCACTGGTGGGGGGGGGCGGAGTGGGGTCCTGCAAGTGGAACTGCTGCAAGAGAACGTGACAAATACATTAATCTCTTTCCTTGAATCATGTTGACTTTCCTTTTTTAAGAACACAAAAGATTGCTAAAGGCACGTACTTTATTGTGGCATGCACGTCTGGGTTTATGCGAAATAGCCTATTAAACATAATGGGTCTTTTAAATTATTTTTTCAAGTTCATTCAAATCAATAGTAATACAATTTTCTGCCATGAATATCAAATCTCAGTGTGTGTGCACAGGCTTTGAAAGTAGCTGCCCTGATAACTTAGCGAGGAAAAAACATCATCAGTGCTTAAGTCTCAGCAGAGGCCAGGCTGCCCTGTTTCAGTGGGAAACCAGTGCCTGTGGGGAATGGGGAAACAGTTATAATGACCATTTACATTTTAACAGCCTTAACAAGAAAGTATTTTATTTATTTATTTTTGTAGAGAGGGGAAGGGAGGGAGGGAGAAAGGGAGAGATACATCAGTGTGTGGTTGCCTATTGAGTGCCCCCTACTGGGGACCTGGCCTGCAACCCTGGCATGTGCCCTGACTGGAACTCAACCGGTGACTCTTTGGTTTGCAGGCCAGAACTGAATCCACTGAGCCACACCAGCCAGGGCTTAATAGCTTTTTAAAATTATGCATAAAATTCTTTAGCATACCTTCTGAGGATGGGATTACTTTTTCTTCTCTAGTGGATGAAATAGCTTCTAAGAAGGTCAACTGACTTGCCCAAGTTCACAGAGCAATGGAGAATGTGGCAAAGCCAATACCAGAAGCCAACCGTATTGATTCTAAGTAGGCCAGGTTTCTTTGATCACAGCTCTTTGTTTCTTAGGTTATTGATGATTTTAGGGCACATGGGTGAGAAGTGCAAGCTGAATTAGTAAGTAGTAGGCTCATTGAAGTTTTTTTAGTATTTTCTAGCACAAAAGATAACTATTTTCTAGTACATACGAAACACAGAAGCCACAAAGCTTGGTGGGAGTTCCTGCCTTTTAAAACTAATGATCATGGTAATGATATTGGTGTCATTTACCGAGCACCAGGTACTAGGCTTTCTACCCCTTTGCTCCTTTAATCCTCACCGCAGCCTAACCAGGTAGGTGCTACGATTCCCCCTCTTTTACTGGTAAAGACACAGGCTCGGCGAGATGAAGCGATTTGCTCAGGGTCTGTCATGGGGCCGCCGAGCTGAAATTTCTTCCACTTGGCCTTTTGATTTGAAAACCTGTTCTTAATCACTGACTCTACCCACATAAGCAGCCTGCTGCCAACCACACCCCACTTTATTACATGCAGACTGGACACAAGTACACGTTGCGAAAGAGGTTCAGTGCCACATGTCAGGAAGCGTTTCCCCAGAATTCTGGCTGCCAGACCAGCGAGCGGAACTTTGGAGACCACTGCGTTAATAAGAACACGTGTACATCCAACTTCTAAAAATTCTTTCTAAAATTACTTTTGACTTTAATTTTTCTCATTGCACTAAAATACATAATGCAAAGTGTACTGCCTTAACCATTTTTAAGTGTATGATGCAGTGGCAGTAAGTACGGTTAGGCAACGTCACCACCCTCCGTCCCCAGAACTTCTCCATCTTCCCAAACCGAAACGCCACACCCGTTGAACACCAGCTCCCCCTCCCCCATCGTCCGGGAACCACTGTTCTTTCCTGTCTATGAATTTACTGCTGTAGGTACCTCATATAGGTGGAATCATACCATATTTGTCTTTTTGAGATAAATCCAGTTTTTATAAGTGAGCTCTTAATATGGTAGGAGCACTTGCTAAAGCAATCTGGCAAATACCTGGTATGGATTGAAGAGTTACACCATTGTGGGGGTGTCCCACTCCCACCCCCTCCCTCCTCCCCCCCACACTCACTAGTGATTTTCTTCAAGAGTGTTTTCTTGACCTCATGGATTTTACCAGCCCACAGACATCGGAAACAAAACAGTGTGATTGGCTGGGATGAATCAATGCTAAATTCTCTAGCAATTTGAGGCTCCATAGATTTTTTTGTGCATATTATTACCACCTATCAGCAGTTAGGTTACCCTGTTCCGAGATGAGGAAACCGAGGGTGCAGAAGCCCCATAGCGTCAGCTGCAGAAGCCCCATAGCGTCAGCTGCAGAGCGCGGGTTCCAGACCAGACCAGGCAGCTGCCGAGGGCCCCAGATGGAGGCCTGGCCAGGTTCTTCCTCCTTGGCGAGCATCACTGCTGGCCCAGGGGTGTGAGGACAGCTTGGTTTCTTCATATGCATTTGCTGCTCTCTGTGTAGCTCACTTTGCTTCCCTGTCTTTTCCAGGAAATGGCCCAGCAGTTGCTGGCAGTGTTTGGTGGCTACTACATCCGGCTCCTGGTCACCTCCCAGCTCCCCCAGGCCATGGGGACACGACACACAGACTCTCCAAAGGTCCCATGCCCCTGCCAACTCATAGAAGCCTACATCTTGGGCACCGGGTGCTGCCCATTCCTGGCCAGGTGACATAGGGACGAAGGTACTCATTTTCCTCCAAGACAGAAGGTGAGAAGTCAGCGAGGCCTCAGGGGCCCAAGATGGCCAATGGCGAGCCCGAGGTGAGAAGCACCTGGGGTACTCTGAAGGGTGTCAGTCATGCCAGCGACAGGGTGTCACGCTCACTCTGGGACCCTGCACAGAAACGGCTGTTGACATCCCATGATGACCCCAGTCCTTTTCTGAAGCCGTGGTTGCCAAGCTGGGCCAGTTACAAGCTATTCTCCATGCTGCTTGACACTATGGGCCTGGGTGGAAGGGCCGCTCTGCCAGCCCTCCCTGAGGGCAGCCCAGCAAATGTGAAGATGACAAGACCGGGCCAGATGTGTCCACAGGCTGGTCTCGGATGATGTGCCCACCTCCAACCCCTCGTGTCAGCTGGGGAAACCGAGGCCCTGGAGGGCGCTGCCTGTGTGGCGTGGCCTTGGGCCTCTGCAGTGACAAGCCTGCCTCCTCCCAGTCTGAAAAAATGAAGTGAATTCTCAGAATGTTCTCCTTTTTACAGCTTTCTCCTCTGATTCTTAAGGAAAAAACAGAGGTACCTGTGCTTGCTTTCTGCTTGTGCACAGGCTTCCAGGGGACCAAGGAAGAAAAGCAATGACACGTGACTGTCAGTGGGACCACCCGGAGAAGACGCATTTTGTCTGACTTGAGGACTTTCATTCCGGGGTATGCGTGGTTGTGCTTGTGTTATATTGCAGATGTGCACTGACGGCCCTGTTTTCTGACACTGTCACTGTACTGGAGTGAAGCGTCATCTTTGTGGAGTTCCATGAAGAGCTCAGAGGCTTCCAGGTTCTCTGCTCCTGAATAAATTTGAAGACCCATGATTCTATAGGCCCAAATCTGAAAGCTCTAGCCTGGCATTGAAAGGTTCCCCAGCCCCCCAAATCTGCCCTTCATTTGCAATTTGGCTTCATCTCCCGCAAAATAAAAAGTTTAAGTTTAAGTTGAAACCGTTTACTGAACTAACATACCTACTGTTCCTTTCTCCCTGTTGGGCTCCTATGCATGCTTCAAAGTCCAGCTTTGCTTATCCCAATTTTAGGAAGCTTTCCAGCATAGCCAGTTCTGCTACTCTCTGTCTCCTTTAAATTCTTGATGTAGCTGCTGCCTTTGCTGATATTTTATTTTATTGATTCTGTTCTCCTGTGCACATGCCTGTTTTTCTAGCCAGACTATAATCTACTCACGGAAAAAGACTACACCTTATCTTTGTGCACGGTCTGGTCCTGCTAAAGAGTAATTAATTGCTCTGTCACCTTTGTCGTAGCTTTTGCAAATTGCTCTCTAAAATCATCTGAGCCTTGGCTGGTGTGGCATACTGGATTGAGCTCTGGCCTGTGAACCAGAAGGTTGCTGGTTAGATCCCCAGTTAGGGCACATGCCTGGGTTGCAGGCCAGGTCCCCGTTAGGGGGTGCACGAGAAGCAACTGCACATTGAAGTTTTTCTTCCTCTCTCCCTCCCTTCCCCTCTGTTTCAAAATAAATAAATAAACTCTTTAAAAAAGTAAACTCAGCTGAATGATGACGTTGGCACAGACCTGGGTTCTGCTCCTGAACTGTCGTTCCTAGTTGTGCAGTTTAACCATCTATATAAAGGGCAAATCGGATGACTCTTAATGGCCCTTCCAAAGCCAAAGTTACAGGAATTTCCAGTGTTTCTTGCTCCATTATAGCCCTTGGCCTGTCTGTCTTTTATGCCTTTATGTACACATAGAAAGATTCTATAGCCCCGTGTGGCTGAGGTGCATCAGACCTGACGCACTTTTGGACAGAACCCTGGCCTAGCTGGCAGGAGGAGACCTAGATTCTCATCCCAGATCTGCAGCCTCCTAGCAGCGTGACCTTGGCGAGGTCACTTAACCTGTCTGAGTGTCACTTCACTCCTTTATGACTGGGTCCAGTGAATGTGAAGTGTTATGATGTGGGTGACTTACCATGTGAGTCTGACCATCGCTTTCTCTGGGCCAGAGAAGAGAAAGCGTTTGTAGACCAGCCCTTGGGAATGGCTGTGTTAGCCAACTCTTGGGGCAGCTTTGCTCAGTGAGAATTATTCACAGAGGTGATTATGGTCTGTCTCCGGCCACAGAGGCAGTGTGGGCTGGGAATGTGATCGGTAGAAGCCCATGGTTACCATCCAACCATTAAGTCCTGGCCAGTGTGGCAACAGCACGAAAGTGTGTGTGTTAAATGACAGAACAGCAGTTTTCCCATTTTAGGGCTTAAGGAGCCCTCATGTGTTTTTTCCTGCTTTTCCCTTTTTTCTGTTTCTGACACTCTGTCCTGCTGGGAGGGGCATTCAGCTGTGCACACCAGGTATACATCTCAGGTTTCTCATTCAGAAAAGTCGGCCATCTGTCTTGCCTGCTTCACAGGGTATCCGTGAAGACCAGGTTCAGCAAATGAGCATGCATTTTAGGTTTGAAGGCTGCGTTCATGACAGCCATGGTGACAGTGAAGGTGGGCCAGTGACCAGAAGTGGGTGCCTGGACTCCAGAGTCAGTGATTCCAATCCAAGCTCTGTCTCTTAGGAGCAGCGTCCTTCCCACCCTGAGGTCTCGCCCGTCCTGCGTGGAATGGGGATTAGAGTGCCTGCCCAGCAGGTTATGGTGGAGATAAACTGGTGTCAAAAATGTGAAGCTCTTGCAGCTTTGTGGTGCAAGCTTGAATATGAGCTCAATAAATTGTTGCTATTTTTCTTAAATCTCTCACTATGTCTTGTTTACTGTAGGTGCTCAATGTGTATTTTCATTGATGTGGTAGGTCATTAACCGTTTATGTTTATTCAGGCTGCATCAGACCTCAGTTACTCCAGCACCATAGGGTGTTTATGTGAATTAATATTCTAGTCAAATCTTTCTTAAATTCAGTACTAGGAACAGTCAGTAGAGCAGGGAGGTTAAGAGTGAGCTGGTGACTCTGGGCCAGATGCTACCCGCTCTGTTCCTCTTATACCTCCATTTCCTCGTCTGTTAAGGGTGTGTGATAATAGGTGGGTTCATTGAGGTGATGTATGTGAAGCACGTAGCGAGGGCTCTGTCAGTGACTGCTTTTCTCCTGCAGCTGCCACGTGCCGTCTTCGGCTTTTACCTGCCTTGTGCAAGTCTTTGTCCTTACTGATGTCGGTTTGCTTGTTCTTTCAGCAGCAAAGCCAGGGAACTCTCCAACTGTGAGGGTAGGGTTTTGTTTCTCCTTTTACTTCTGACAAATTGTTTTTTTAATGACATAGTTAAAAAAATATGATGTAATTAACATACCATAAAACTCACCATTTTAAAGTATACGGTTCAGTATTTTTTAGTATGTTCATGAGATTGCACAGCCACGGCCACTATTGAACTCTAGAACGTTTTCGTCACCTGCCCTGCCCTAGCCATTCCTGCCTCTCCCCAATCCATGACAACCCCTAATCTATTTGCTCTCTCTGTAGACTTCCCTATTCTGGACATTTCATGTAAGTAGAATCATACAGTATGTGGCTTTTCTGTATCTGGTTTTTCTTTCACATAACATATTTCAAGATTCATCCATGCTGTAGCATGTACTAGCACTAGCACTTTATTCCTTTTTAGCGGCAGAATAATATTCCACCGCATGGTTAGACCAGATTTTGTGTATCCATTCATCAGTTGGGTTGTTTCTACATTCGACTGTTATGACTCACGCTGCTGTGAATAACTTACTTCTGACAAGTTTTGCTCTGTTATCACATGCATGCAGGTTGAGAAATCGGATAGGTTGACCCTTTCAGCTTCGTGAAATAGCCCTCTTTATCTATATTAGATTTTTGCCTTACAGTTTACTTTGACACATGAGCTTTCTTTTAAATAGTCTTCACATAGTATATGTTTCTTCTACCTTTTAACTTTGAACTTTGTCCTTCTATTTAAGGTACCCCTTTTGTGGGTATATGGGATTTTTAAAAATTCAGTCTCAGTTTTTTTAACTGGAGTATTTACTCTGCTATGGCTGATGTACTACTAATACATTAGATAGGTTTGGGCTTATATGTACCATTTTGCTTTTTACTTTCTTTTGATCTTTTTTTGGTGTGTTCTGTTTTGTGTCCTTTTTTTTGCCTTCTTTTGCATCATTTTTATAATTTCTCTTCTATTAGCCTATAAAGAATGTATTCTCTTCTTTTAGTGGTTACTTTGGGATGCAGCATCCCTGACTTTCGGTGCTAGGTGAGGTCTGGCACCACTCTCTGGACAATCCAGCGACTTCAGAATTCACCTTTCTGCTTGCTGTGCTATTGTTGTGGGTTTCAATTCTCTCCATGTTTTACTTTATTTTATTTTTTTAATTTTAACTTAAAATTTTTTCACATTTTTTATTGTTGTTCAAGTACAGTTGCCTCCATTTCCCCCCACCACAACCATCCCCAGTTCTCTCCATGTTTTAAACCACAACAGATATTGTTTGACGTAGCCAGTACTCATTTATATTTATTCATATGTTTACTTTGTGTTACTCTGGATTACTTTTTCATTACTCTTTGTTTCTTCTTGCATTTTTATACATTTATCTAGGATCATTTCCCTCCTAGAACTACCTTTGGAATTTTTCTTTAGTATAGCATATACTATACTAAATACTGTACTACACTATACTGTACTAAATACTACACTTTAGTGTTTAGTCTATTTAGAAATACGCTTAGCATTTTCCTTCCCATGTAGATCTTCTGGTGATAGATTGAGTTTTGTTTGTTGAAAAATCTCCACTTTGGTTTTATTTTTGAAAGATATTTTTTGGTAAGTCAAGAATTCCAGGGTCCTGCAGTTATTTCCTTTCAACTTTTGGAAGATGTCATTGGCTTTCATTGTTTCTCTTATGAAGTCGGCTCCGAGTCTCGTTGCTCTTCTTCAAATTTTCTCTTTGTTTTGGGCTTCAGCAATGGTTTTGATGTGCCTAGGTATAGATTTCCTTGTATTTATCCTGCTTGAGGTTCATAGCACATCTTGAATCTGTGACACAGTATCTTTCATCAAAGCTTATACCCCTTGACTCTCATCTTCTGGGGCTCTAATAAGAGGTGAGTTAAGACCTTTTCAGTGTATCTTTAAGATGCGGTGTTTTCCATTGTTTTGGTTCCTCTGATTCACTCTGAATATTTTCTACCAACTTACACTCTAGTCCATTACTGTTGCCCTCATTTGTGTTTAATTGGTTTTAATCTTTCCGCTAGAGTTCTTAATTTCAGCTATCATAGTATTTAATCCTATGTAATTTAATTAACTTTATATAGTTTACAGTTCTCCATGAATCATCCATCTCCATCTATTTCCTTTGCTATTTTAAAGTCCATGTCTTCTGACTCCAGTATCTGGCTCTTCTGTAGATCTGTTTCTTTTGCTTTTTGGTTCATTGCTTTTATCTCCTGGTATTCCTGGCAATTTTTTTGATTGGATGCCAGACATTTTTTTTTAAATGAAGAGATGTACAAGACTCTGGATATGCCTTCAGGAAGAATTTACTTCTGCTTCTGAGAAAAGTGGGATTGGCATAGATTTGACTCTGGGTTGTAGTCCTGTGAGACCTGGTCTAGGTCAAGTTAGCTCTGACTTGGAGATTACAGCCCCTCAGGAATTTTAACTGAAGACCTGGTTAAAACCTTTTTAGTGACCAGGACTCCTTCTTCAAGGTGAGCCCTCAGCCTCCAGTTTTTGTTACTCTAGGCTGTGCCGGATTTTTCAGCTGCTTTGACCTGCTTAGGAATTGGCAGGGGTCTCGAAGGGGGCGTAAGGCCTCAGTGTGTATTTCATCTCCTTCCACTTCCTTCCTCTGCAGGGTCTTGGCCTCTTGAGTCCCAACTGCACTGGTAACTCTCGGATGCATTTGAATGGATTTAAGAAAATCCCCCCAAACTAGAGCTTTTAAAAACTGCTCTGACAGGAGGGTTTGTCTGCTACATAGTCTGCCACAGTCAGGGGTAAAATCCAGCTCTGGCTTCCATTATTATTTTTATGGTAATGATTCGAAAATCCTTCCAAAAAGATGTCATTCTGAGGCTCAGAGTTCTTTGACAAATTCATAGGGATGTGAGTCTCTTACCGTCCCATCTGTGAAGAGGCTTCTAAATGATGAAAGCAGGAAGTGCCATTTAAGGAGCATCTTTTATGTGCAGAGCAACTGCGGCATCTATGCAGGAAATAGTTTACAGTTCTCATGGAATCATGCATCTTAGTTCCAAGACATAAGTAGCTTGGGGTCTTCTGGGGAAGGAAAGTGGGACCTTGGTATGGGAGGTGGTGAGGAATGCATGGAATAGATAAAAATTGAGGTCAGAGGATAGCCCAGAGGATACAGTGTGAGAACAGGAAGTAGAAGAGGACCCTGGACAGTGAAGTACCAGGAAAGTGGAAGGCTCTTCACCCAGCTGATGCTGTTGAGGATTCTTTCCTTGTGGGAAGAGGCGTGTCAGCCTAGGGAACTGGTAATCCACACACAACTAGCAAGCCTGTTCGTTTCCTTCCATTCATGGTTCTTTTACCCATGCCTGCTACATATTTTTAACCTTCTGGATGTGCCACCCATGTGTCCCATAGGCTCCTCCAGCTTAAGATAGCTCAAGGTGAAATGATCTGTCACCTTGGCCTCACCACTAACCCCTTCTCAGTTTTCTGCACCACAAGAGAATCCTAGAACCTCCTTCCCCAGTTCTCAGAATTGGCCAGCCTTACCTGAGAACTGCGTTGTAACCTGGGCTCTCCTTCCCTGGGCTGCTGTCCCAGTTTGTACCTGTGTTGCTGTCTCTTTTGACTGCCTAGGCAGCTTCTTGGATGTCTGTGTCAGTCAGGGTCCAATCAGAAGACTTGAAACCACATAGTAATATGAGTATGGAAAGCTTAATATAAGAATGAACTGTTCATAGTAATGTGAATATGGAAAGTTTGATATAAAGAAGGAACTAATGGATTGGGTTGTGAGAAGTAAAGAGAATTCTAAAGACCATGAGAACAGCAGCTACAAGGAGCAGCCACCAATCCCAGGGCTGAGAGAGACCCCGAAGGAATAGCACCCCACACGCCATCCCCAGCTGCGAGCTGGACCTTGTTGGGTAGGACATGGCTGTGGTTCTTTGGATGCAGAGAAGCCTGAGATGAAGTGTTGACAGAATGTTCTAGACATCGGACTGCTAGGGTGACAGGGGAAACTATTCCGGAGAGATGGAGATACTCCCTCATTTGCTGTGGGTACTAGGAGAAGCTGCTGGCTGCTAAGTGCTACTGATGACCATGCACTGCAGAATCTGGGTGCAGGAAAGCTGTGCACACTGCAGAAACCTGTTGTTGGAGAAGCTGGCTGGGCTGCAGGAGCCAGATGCTTGAGAAGCTGCATGTGCTGCAGAAGGTAGATACTGGAGAAGCTGTGTTTTGTGCATGAGCCTGCTAAGAGGAGCATGCCAGCACCAGGAGGGAAAGCCCTTCCTCTTTCCTAGTCTCTAGCACCCCCTACAGACAAAGCATAGCATTGTAAGCAGCTGCCAAAGGAAAAAGATTTAAAGGGCCTAGCTCCATTTTCGAAGAGCAGGCAATGAATAATCCATCTTGAGCCCAGAGAGCAACTGAATGTCATTCTAGCATCCTTGTGAACTGGTTGGTTAAGAACATGGACTCTGAAGTCAGGCTTCCTGGGTTCAAGTCTCAGCTCTGTCATTTACTATTATGGC